CACGTTTGCCTACAAAATAGTAAAGTTGGCCGGCCACAACATTGAAATGAATGCAGATAAATAATTGACTTTGTGGCTGTTTGTGTGGGACCTTTGCTAAGTGCAGTTTGCTTGCAGCATTCACCTAAAATTACACAGTCGTTTTGAAATCAGTGTCCTGTGAAGCGCTTTCAGGTGTTTTGGCGATGGAGGCACTGTGTAAAAAGTGAGGATTATGATACATACAGCAGTGGCAATCCAGTACACTCTATCAAAGCTCTGTATTTTATAAAATGTTGCGTTGAGCTGTGGTAAGTGGAGTGTGGCAACCTGTACTATATTACTGGCAGCTGATTGAGTTATTACAATGACTCGCTGAGTTATGATTCCAGCCTGTGAATCAGAGCGTGGCGTATACCTTTTTTTTTAGAGCTTTTTATGTCCTTGTTTCTTCTTTGTGGAACATCACACCAGCAATGCTCCACTCCTCCAAGTACAGCACACTCACCTGAGCCACAGGATGTGCGGGAGACGAGTCAATTGATTATTAATCTCACAATCTGTCATTGCTTCCTGTCCTGATTAATCAGACGCCCCACCTCACCCAGGGAGAGAGTGCTCGTTCCATTCCAACATTCTGTCTCTGGGATTTCCATGTATAGGTGAGATACAATACAATACAAAATTACATTTGTATAGTGCCTTTCATGTCGGTAGCATGTCCCAAGGCGCTGGACAGTTAGGGATTTGGACCCGAGCTGGATGGGGGGTTGGGGCAAGGGCGGGTAGGGTGGCTGAAGGCACGGTCGAAGAGGAGGGTCTTGAGACGTACCTTGAAGGAGGCAAGAGAGGGAGAGAGGTAAAGGAAATGTGGGATGGAGTTCCTAAAAGTGGGGGCAGGGAGGCTGAAGGCCTGACCGCTGATGGTGGGGTGGGCTGGGCGGGGGACGTGGAGCAGGCCTGCGAGTGGAGGGAGAGGACAGGTTGATAAGGGGTTAGTAGGTCACTGAGGTACAAAGGGGCAAGACAGTGGAGGGCCTTGAAGGCGAGGACAAGAATTTTTAACTCAATCTTCTGAGGGATGTGGAGCAAGTGGAGGTGGGCGAGTGTGGAGTTCATGGGGTCAGGGAGCCTGGTGTGGGAGAGGACACAAGCTGCAACGTTCTGGAAGATCTGCAGTTTGTTGAGGGAAGAGTTGGGAAGGCCGACAAGCAGGGAGTTTGGGTAGTTGAGCCCAGATGTGATGATTGCACGAATGAGGGTTTTGACGGCCTGTTGGGTGAGGCAGTGGCGGAGCCAGGCTATGTCGCAGAGGTGGGGGAAGGCAGAGCAGGTCATGGCATGGAGGTAGGGTAGAAAGGACAGTTGAGGCTTAAACAAGCGCCTAGGTTCCTAGCCTAGCTACTCTTAAGCCTGGTGATGGTTTTTCCTTTGATCAGACACCTGGTTGACCAAATAAAAGATGACCCACCTGGCTCAGTTAGTATCACTCTTGTATCTGAGTCAGAAAGTTGTGGATTCAAATCACATTAGGGACTTTGAATTTGCGTAGTCCAGAATAACTCCAATGTCGTGCTGAGGGAATGCACTGTTAGAAGTGCCATCTTTAGGATGAGACGATAAACCTGTTCAGGTGGACATTAAATGTCCAATGGCACTATTTTATTCTGCTATATAAAATTGGTCATTCATTTTGTGGCTGTTTGTGGCGCTTGTGGCTGCCAAACCACTGACTGTCCACTGCCTTCCCGACGTGAAAGTCACTATACAAATGTAATTGGTTGTTGTTTGTGCACATTGCTGTGTGCAAATTGATCACTGCATTTACCTACAAATCATGTTACTATAAAGTGACTGTGAAGAGCTTTGAGACAGCCTCCAGACATGAAAGGCGCTATATCAAGCACAAGAATTATTGTGGTATCATTAAGAATTACAAAGCCCTAAAATCAAAGCTGTTGGAAACCTTTACACGTGATCCCTTAGGACTGACCAAACTCTAAAATGTCGTCAAAACTTTTTTAAGGTAAGTTTAGTCCCTCTCCCCTACTTTCTTCCCCCATCCACTCAACCGCCAGGTTGGCCATCTGTTTGTCCCCTTACATACATACACCCTTTTATGTTTTTCTTTTTCTGACAGAAAACAGGCTCGCCCTGACAGAGACCTGAAATTCCACCTCGTCTCTCTCAGCCTGTGAAACTATTTTGTCATATCATGAGAAATGGGAGCAGAATTGTGGAAATTCTTCAATCCAGTCTTACTTTGGAAGCTGATGTCTTTTTAAGAATTACAAGAAACCAGCTTCCAAATAATGATAATCCTTGCATTTGATACAGCACCTTTACACATAATTGAGACGTCTCATAGTGCTTCACAGGAATATATTATAAAGTGGATTGACTGTGTATTCTGTGGGCGAAATGTGCCAGCCAACTGCATTCAACAGTGTCCAACAAACAGTCATGGATTGAGTGAATTTTTTTATTTTTGGAGTGATTATTATGACCAGAAAGTGATCCTTCAATCGACTAACAACCGGGTTTCTACTTACTGTTTGGCAAACAGATGCCTGGTGAGTAAGGAAACTTGCCTAAGGTTTCGCCCTGCCTGGGACTCAAATCCTGGTCCTCTTGCTTGCGAGGGGAGCGCTCTAACGACTACGCTACAGGACACCACATGAAGTATGAATTTCAAATGAAGACTGAATTGAAGACGTTTCCACAATCTGTTGTCATTTCTAAATTTGAAGGCATTCAAGGCTGAGACGAGGTGTACTTTTGGTCTGCTGGGTTAGCTGTGACGGTTGTCGCTTGATTCATTTTTGAGGCGAGCTAGTTTTCAGAATTGCAGCGGAATTATGAGCTTGTTAATTTAAGACACTGAGGTGTGATGAACATCCAGTGGCATTGAGGTTTTGCATTTATGTAGTCGCTGCTGTGCGCAATTGGCCTCTACGTTTCGTCCACAAAATATAGTTAATTCAATTTACAGTATATCCTGTGAAGTACTTTGAGATGTCTGGGAGATGCGACAAGGCGCTATATCAAATGCAAGGATCATTATTATTATTATGAATCATGTGATTTGCTTTTCTCATTGTCTTAATGCGACGTGATAGTTGCATTTCCCCAATGTGGTTATATTTTGGTCAGTCGGCTGTCAGATACTGTGCTTAAGTCTCCAAATCACACTGCACGCATTTTGTATACTGTATTTTTAGCAATATTGTGGTTTTCGCTGCCTGAAGCATTGGTTGAATCAATGGCAGGACATAGATGTATAGTAGCGTGGATGCATTCAAGAAGAAGCTGGACCTTCACATAAGGTTTGTGAGTCCTGTAGCGTATGTGTGATGTGGAATGTCCTGCTAAGTAAGGTGGTAGAACAGAGTCCTTTGTGGGTTTCAGTAAGGAAATAAAAAGCTACAGGGGTATAATAATAATGATAATACTAATCGTTGCATTTGATATAGCGCCTTATCACATAATCAGCACATTTTAAAGCATGTCATAGAATATACTGTAGAGTGAATTGACTGTATATTTTATGGGCAAAACGTATGGGGATAGGGCAGGCCCATGGGATTGAGTGGACAGGTTGCTCTGAGAGTCAGTGCATAACACAATGGGCCGACTGAGCTCCTTCTGTGCTGTAAAACTCTTATCAATCTGTTTGGGTGCTATGTTTTTGACGTTGTCTCCATTTATTGATGCTACTATGATCTCTAAACATTCCCTGGGTAGTCCTCCTGATGTGAAAGATGCTAAATAAATGCAATTTTTGTTGTTGTTGTTCCTTCAAAGTTCCAAATACCTCATACTGTCTTCCAGTGTTGAAATGGGGCTCATCGCCCACTATCTTCATTTCCGAGCGCCTCCATAAACCCATAAAACATAAAAAGTCATCAGCAGGCCATTTAACATTTAATAGCCATTAGTGTCGTTGCTTGCTCCTCCAATAGTCATCTATCTTAATCCCAATTGTACATTCTTTCCCCATACCCTCCAGTCAAGCCTGCTCTGACCACCCAACCCTGGCAAATAGTTATGCATTCCATTAATCCTTCCTAACATTCCCTTTCATGCTCTTAGTTACAATCTTAAATTCTTGCCTCAAATTATCTACCAGTTGGAAATAGTTCCTCACATTTGTCCTCTCAATCCCTTTAATTATCTAAGGACCTCTATCAGAGCACCCCAAAACCTGTTGACCACCTGACCTCTCAGTCTCTCCTTCCTCCTATATCTTTATGCATTATTGGCTTATTATTCTCCAATCTCTCTTGTTTCTCTGCTGTTTTTGTTTGCGGTCAGCCCTTTGTAGTGGTCTCCTGGGTCAGTCATTAACACTGCTACCTCTTGACTCACAAGGTTATGGGTTCAAGAAGCCACATTGGCCCACAATCCAAGATGACACTCCAGTGCAGTGCTGGGGGGAGCACTACATTGTCAAAGGTGCTATCCTTCATCTGACATGATAAACTGAGGTCCCACCTGTGCCTGTTCAGGTGGATGTTAAAGATCCCATGGTGCTATTGGAAAAGAGAATGGGATCTCCCCCTCAGTGTCCTCCCCAGATAGAATTGGTTATTCACTTCATGGCTGTTTTGTGGGACATTGCTTTGAACAAATTGGCTTCTGCATTTGCCTACAAGTGAATGGTCAGTGCACTTTACAGCAAAATTGTGGAGATCCTGTAGCTTAGAGCACTCATCTCGCGAGCAAGAGGACCTGGGTTTGATTCCCGGGCAGGGGAAACGTTGGGCAAGTTTCCTTACTCCACACGTCTCTGTTTACCTAGTAGTAAGTAGGAACCCAGTTGTTAGTCGAATGGCGGATTGCTTTTCCGGTGGGTAATAATATCTTCAAAAAAAATTATAATTTGGTCATTTAATCCACGACTGTTTGTGGGGCATATTATTAAAATTCTGTGAAGTTCTTGGCGATGGTTTGATATTACATGCAATAGGTTCAGTTGAGAGGATTCTATTTACAGGAGCATCTTTTATTTCTCATTCCAGAGCTGGAGAAGTCCCCATCCGTCAGTCGCTTCTCTGAGAAGGTCTTCATGAACTACAGCATTTTCCTGGTGGACAGCTCGCGGCAACGACTCTATGTGGGAGCCAAAAACGCCATCTTTTCCCTCAGCTTGACCTCAGTTACACGGAATTTCTTAAAGGTAGACTTAACCCTTACAGACTACATTGTTCCTGAGCTGGACCCTGTCCTTATGGGTGTCACGGGCAATGGAGATATGGTTACAAGATAATAATGCTTGCTTTTCATATAGAACCTTATCACGTCGTTGAGATATCTCAAAGTGCTTCACAGAATATATTGTAAAGTTGATTAATTGTGCATTTTGTGGGTAAAATATTCCAGCCAATTGTCCACAAACAATTGAGTGACTAAATATATTTATTAGTCCAGAAAAGCAATCCGTCAATTGACTAACAACTCGATTCCTACTCACTGCTAGGTAAACAGAGGCGTGTAAAGTAAAGGAAACTTGCTTAAGGTGTCGCCTTGCCCAGGAATTGAATTGTGTGCACTAACCACTAGGCTATGGGACTCCAAAGAGTTTTTTCTCACCCTCTCTCTCTTCCCTGAGCTCCTTCCATAGGAAGGAAGTGACAGACAAATGGTTGCGAAATAATTGTGCTCTGACTTTTCTTCTCACTTGGCCTCTCTTCCTCTCTCTCTCCCTCCCTCTTTGTTTCTCTCTCCCCCCATTGCACGTTTCCACATGCCATCATCAGTACTGTCGTGGTTCTGGAATGATAACCTCAATTTCGCAAAATTGCTCTGAAGATTGCTCAACACACAGACATTTCAACAGACCTTTGGCTACTTGATTATTGCATAGCTCTCACCCTGGCTCAGTCAGTAACATTCTTGCCTCTGGGACAGGAAAGTTGTGAGTTCCAGTCCAACACTAGGAACTTGAGCTGGCACTCGCTGATTCTCCAGCTCTGTGCTGGGGGAGTGCCACATTGTTCGCCTTCAAAGCCTTCCATGGTCTTGCTCCTCCCTATCTCTGTGATTTGCTAACTCCATAGAGCCCTGTCCACTCCCTCCACTCAGCAGGCTCCAGTCTGCTCCATGTCCGCTCCGTCTGCTCTGCCATCCTACCATCGGTGGTTGGGCCTTCAGCCTCTCTGCTTCCAACAGTTCCTTTGCATCGCTCCTTCCCTTGCCTCCTTCAAGACCCTCCTCTTCGGCTGTTTGTAATAGGAAGTACCGTCCTTTGGCTGAGACAGTAACTCTTTGACTGTAACTTCAGCTCCCCTCTCGACTCTCTACCCCCTCCTCGCTCCCTCCCTTCCCTCACCCTGACTATTTCCCCCCTGCTCGGGTCCTGACCCAACTGTCCAGCACCTTAGGATGTTCTCCCAACATGAAAGGCGCTCTATAAATGGATTTTTTTTGTTGTTGTAACTAAGATACCCAGTGTGTCTGTTCAGGTGGACGTTAAAGATTCTGTGCGCTATTCAAAAGGAGAAAATAATTTCTCCAGTGTCCTGGCCGACACATTCCAGATAAAATTGGTGACTCATTTCATATCTGTTTGTGGGACGTTGCTGTGCTCAAATTGGCTGTCACTTTTGCCTGTAAAATACACATCAACAACAATTTAAATTTACACAGCATCCTTCACCTGGAGCGGCATCTCAGAGCACTTACCAGTGATGGAACCTGATGCCAAGCCAGGGGAGGGAAGAGCTGACTGTAAGCACCGTCAAAGTGGAAGGTCTTCAGTCATGATCTAAAAGAGGGGAAGGAGGAGTCAAGGGGACGGATTGAGGGAGAAAGTTCCAAAGCCTCGGGCTGTAGTGGCTGAAAATATGGGGGCGGTGGGAGCAGAGGGGATGAATGATAACAGGAGGCCAGAGCCAGTCGAATGGAGTCAGTGGCTAGTGGAGTAGAGAGAAAACAGGTCGAAATGAAAAGGAAGTGCCAGGGAGTGAAGGGACTTGTCAGTCATTTAGTTCACTGTGAAGAGCTTTGAGATGTTTTGATGGTGTGATAAGACACTGAATTAAATCCAAAGATTATTATTATTGTTACTATTACTATTATTATTGGGTGTAAACGTCCGGGAAAACAAACGGAGAGTTGTAGAACTTTCTGGATGACTCGCGTGTGAGGTGATGCGTCCGAGTTTCTCTGCTACTTCGATTGCTGCGCTCGATGTTCTTGTTCATCTTTGTGATGCTCGTAATTTTGCTTTGCAGATAGAGTGGATCGTGTCGAACGATAAACACATGTCTTGTACTAGCAAAGGCAAGAGAGAGGTTAGTGTTAAAAACACACTTCACGCTTTGCATCTGGCTGTGACATCTGGGACCTGAAACCCCTCCTCGTCTTCAGCCCTGAGGCCGTTGTGTTTTAAAGTGTCAGTTTGTGCCAAACTGGAAAATTCTTGAATAACAATAACGCGTCGAAAATGTGATAAGGGGCTATTGCAAATACACGAATTATTATAATAACGGCGCTGAGACTTTATCCTATGTGAGGGGTGCAATACAAATGCAAATTGTTGCAGTCTTAATCTTTCAGTCCATTTAATCTTCAAATCACTCAGAACTGTGCTGAACTGCGGAAAACCGTTTTCTGTAATTACGACTGGATTTAAGAATTTTACACAATTCTCTGTCGTCTTAAATTCGAAGACAAAGTGACATAGCTGGCAGATCTAAGAGGAGTTTCAGGCTTCGGATCATGTGGAAATTTGAGAAAACATCCATGAATTCAGTATTGATTTAGACGTTGATTTGCAAACTGGCTTGTAAATTGAGACATTGTTTAAAAATATTCCAATATTCTGCCCGTGAGACGCCGTCCGGCGTGGAGGGCGCTATATAAATCAAAGTTGTTGTTGTTGTCTCATTTTAATGTGGTTGATCTTTGGGAGGTTAACTTTCAAAGCCATATATGGCCTTGTTCCTTCCTACCCCTGCTGTATCAACTTGTCCGCCCCTTCACTCTTCAGATTCTGGCCTGCTCCACGTGCCCCACCATCAGCAGTCGGACCTTCAGCCTCTCTGTCCCAACCCTCTTGGAACTCTATCCCACAGCCCCTTGGCCTCGCTCCCTCCCTTGCCTCCTTCAAGGCATGTCTGAAAACCCTCATCTTTGCCCGTGCCTTCGGCCACCCTTCTACCCTCCCTGCCCTCAACCTCTCCTGATCCCAACCCCCAGCTTGAGTCCAAATTCCTGACTGTCCAGCACCTTGGTACATCCTCCCAACATGAAAGACGCTATACAAATGCAATCTTTGTTGTTGTTGTCATAACATGAGAGGTTCGGGATCTCTTGTGTGTTTTATGGTCTGTGCTAAGTTAAACTTATTCAAGACAGTGGTGGGAGAGGCCTAAATGGAACTCATTGCCCCAAGGCTAAGTAGGTGAGAGTATGAGCCAGGGCCCCTAATTGTGATCACTGTCAAGCGACTTCCCTGCTGGAGAGAGTGCAGGGAGGGATTGTCGGGTGGGGCAGAGTAAGCCTTACCTGTGATGCTAAGGTCAACAGGCTGCCTGCCTGGTGCTCGCTCTCTCGACTTGCAGTGCAAGAATGGTCACTAAGGCTGCAAAGATACCAGAGCCCAGGCACAAGCCAAACTCTTCAGGAGAGGAGCAATTGTCCGTACTGGGGTCTCTGGTCCGCATCCTCTTTGATACTGGATGACGGATGAGTGTCACACTTTAATGGCCTGCTCGGCAGACTCTCCAGCTCCTCTCTACACATACCTGTCTAACCAAGGCCCATTCTCTCTCTCTCTCTCTCACTATCCATACTCTCATTTCCCACTCCATGTTCTGTGAGACATTATCACTCCCTCCCCACCTCTAAAGCCTGTCTTTAATATCTATCTCTTTGATCATAATCCAAGGCAATAATCCGTGTGAAGCACACTATATAAACAGAAGTTGTTGATGATGTTATTGTCGATCACCTATTCTCCGCAATATCCCCACGCTCCTCAGCTCCCCTCACCTCCAACTTAGGCTCCCAGGCCACTGTGTGAAGTACTTTGAGACTCCTTCATGTCATGAAGGGCACTCTCTAAATGTGAATTGTTCTGTTGGTAATCGGCATTTTCAAAAGAGCTCTCTCACCCCCCCAAAAAAACAGCTTATGTGCTTTTAAGCTCCCGTGGCTGTGGATCATGGGTTAACTGGGTGGGTAAACATCACCAGATCACAACAACTTGAATTTACATAGCGCCCCTCACACAGAGGAGTGTCCCAGAGCGCTTGACGCAAAGTCTGGGGGAGGGGTGCCAGTAGGCACGGTGGAAAAGGAAGATCTTCAAGCCTGACCAGTAGATGGGGAAGGAAGGGGCAAGGCAAAGGGATACAGGAAGAGTGTTCCATAGTTTCGGGGCGTAGTGGCTGAAAGAACGGCCACCGATGGTGGAGTGGAGGGCGTGAGGGACATGCAGGAGGCCAGAACTACAAAGTGATACATCTCACGTCCTCTTCAGCAAATGCTTGCACACCCTCCTCCTTCACAAGCTGCTCTAGAACATTAACCCATCCTCAGAGTGCCCTAAGCTCCCATCAGGACTTTGTGAAGTCCTGTAGTTTAGTGGTTAGAGCGCTCGCCTCGCAAGTGAGAGGACCTGGGTTCGATTCCCGAGCAGGGCGAATCCTTAGGCAAGTTTCCTAACTCCACACGCCTCTATTTCACATCCTCCCGACGTGAAAGGCGCTCTATAAATGGAATCTTGTTGTTGTTGTTGTATTTACCTAGCAGTAAGTGGGTACCCGGTTGTTTAGTTGATTGGCGGATCGCTTTTTGGAAGGTAAGAATCCCTCAAGAAAAAAAAATTATAATAATTCAGTCACTCAATCCACGACTGTTTGTGCTGTGTACAATTGGCTGCTGCATTTCGCTTACAAAATATACAGTCAATTCATCTAACAGTATATTCCTTATAATAATAATAATCCTTGCATTTGGGATGACGCTTTTCTTGTCTTCTAGACGTCTCAAAGCGCTTCACAGAATATACTGTAAAGTGAATTGACTGAATTTTTTTGGGTGAAAAGCGGCAGCCAATTAATTGCACATAGCAGTGTCCCACAATCAGTCGTGGATTGAGTGACCAAATTATTATTCTTTTTTTTTCTTGAGGGATTATTATCAGGCATGTGGAGTAAGGAAACTTACCCAAGGTTTTGTCCTCTGGGAATCAAACTGAGGTCTCTCACTTGCGAGGCGAGTGCTCTAAGCACTGAGCTACAGGACTCCAACTCTAAAGCCTTTAGTCTTAAATACATATCTCTCTGATGACATTCCAAGACACTATCACGTGTGAAGGGCATTATATAAACACAAGTTGTTGATGATGTTGTTGTTGGTCATCTTTTCCCCGCAGCACGCCATGCTCCTCAGTTCCCCTCACCTCTAGCTCAGGCTCCCAGTCCACTGTGTGAAGTGCTTTGAGACATCTCAAAGATGTGAAAACGTGATATATCAAATGCAAGGATTGTTATTATTGTGAGTGGGCAGGCGGTGCGGACGGAAAAGCATATCATGGCTTATGTGGCAGGTTTCATTGCTTTGATTGCATGGTTTGAAAGCTAGCCTTGTCCTGCTATTAGCGCCCATTTGTTCAGGAATATATAATTGATTTGGTTGGAAATGTCCTCCCAGTTAATTTCCTTAAATAGGAAGGTGGGTGGGTGGGGGGGTAGGAAGATGTGTAAGCGGTTGGCAAAGAGGACGTGATGACCATCGCTTTGTAGATAGCAGGAAAACACAAACAGTGAAGATATTTTTCAGCAATCTATGCTCTTATCATCTGAGTTATCCCCAAAGGCAATGAGAATTTACTGCGCATAGGAAAGCACCAGAGACCCAGGCTCCCATTGTCCTCCCATTCTGGCCAGCAGCAAACTGACCTGAGATCTTTACAAGAGAACATAATACAAATTTACATTATACAGCGCCTATCATATCAGGAGAACATCCCAAAGCACTTAACAGTGCTGGCTGAGTATCCACACACCAATACTGATAACTTACTTTTACACAATATACATAAAAATGTATCTTTGTTGTGGTTTCTGGGTTCACACCCTACGTCGGTACTTGGAATCACACTCCAATACAGCCCTGGATGGGTGTTACATTGTCGAGATGCCGTCCTTCGGATGAGATCTTAAACCGAGGTCCCATCTGCCTGTTCAAGTGAATATTCAAGATCCCATAGCACTATTCAAAAAGAAAAGGGAATCCAGAACCTTGGGACGCCCTCCCAATGTGAAAGGCACTATACAAATTTTGTTGTTGTTGTTTCTCTCCCGGTGTCCTGGCCAACAATCCCCAATAAAATTGGTCACTCATTGCATGGCTGTTTGTGGGACACTGCTGTACACAACTGGCCGCTGGTATTTCGGCCATAAATTACACAGTTACTCCACTTTACAGTATCCTGCAAAGCACTTTGAGATTCTCAATGTTGTGATAAGGCGCTTTATTAAATGCAAGGATTACTCTTATTATTCCAACGATGAGTTGAGGAGTCTTTTCATTTCAATTTGGGGTGAATTAGGATTGAGGCAGAGATAGTATTCGACTATAAGGAAGATGATTTTGTGTCAAATGTTTACATGTGTTTCGAAGCGCTACATTAATGCTATAATTGGGCACTTTCTCGCCTCCAAGTTAGAAGGTTGTGGGTTCAAGCCCCATGTTTGAGCTCAGAGCCTAGAGCTCTTTGAGAAAAGAGCTCAGTTGGCACTCCAGTGTAGTATTGAGGGAACTCTGTCGTTTGGAAGAGCCATGGGATAAACAGACAATTTAAATGCTCTCCCGAAAGAGGAGACATTGAATTGTCCTTCGGGGAGCCTTTAAATGGCCTGTTTAACCCATGGCCAACAATCACTGGCCTTTCCATCTGGCTATTTTGAGTTTCACAAACTTGCTGTTAAGACTGTCTACAAAAATTAGTCTCTGCACGTTTCGATGCTTACATTTCTATAACCCTTTCTGCCCAACCCCACAAGATAATAATAACAATAATCCTTATTATTAAGCCTGAGAATGGATTGAATTTCGAACATGTAGCGGGAGGGGCAGGGCTGATTAAATAGAAGAACCAGAGGGTTGAAATCTACTTTAAAATTCTGACCAGACCTTAAATAAGACCAATAGTTGCTTCATTAGTAATTGCTTCATTATGATTGCTTCCCTGGAAACCAAGGCTTTGCGACATCCTCCCGATGTGAAAGGCAATTAATAATAATAATCCTTGCAATGATATTGCGCTTATCACATCTTTGAGACGTCTCAAAATGCTTCACAGAATATACGATAAAGTGAATTGACTGTATATTTTGTGGGTGAAACGCGGCAGCCATTTGCACACAGCAGTGCCCTACAGAGTCGTGGATTGAAGTGACCAATTTTTTTTAAAAGGAATTATTACTTCCAGAAAAGCGATTCATCAATTGGCTAACAACCAGGTTCCTACTTACTGCTAGGTGAACAGAGGCGTGAGGAGTAAGGAAACTTGCCCAACATTTCACCCTGTCGGGAATCAAACCCAAGTCTCTCGCTTGGGAGGCGAGTGCTCTAACCACTGAGCTACAGGACTCCACAATTTGTTGTAAATGCAATTTGTTGTTGTATTATTCAAGCTGTGAGTGGAAAATTATTGCTGTTTTGTGTTTTACACAATTATCTGCACTTTGAACGCCAATTACAATATACTCCCATTACTGGGCTCCCCCCACAATAACAACTGGCACTTAGAATCATAGAATAATGGAATTTTACTGCACAGATGGAGGCCATTCAGCCCATCGTGCCTGTGCCGGCTCTTTGAAAGAGCTACCAACTAGTCCCATTCTCCCGCTCTTACCCCATAGACCTGCAATTTTTTGCTTTTTAAATACCTATCCAATTTCCTTTTGAAAGCTATTATCGAATCTGCTTCCAGCACTGTTTCAGGCAGTGGATTCCAGACCATAACAATTCTCTGGGTAAAAAAAATTCTCCTCGTCTCCACTCTGGTTCTTTGCCAATCATCTTAACTCTGTGTCCTCTGGTTACTGACCCACTCGCGAGAGGAAACATTTTCTCCTTAGTTACTCGATCAAAACCCCTCATTATTTTGAACATTAAATTATTGCTGTTTTGTATCGAATAAATCTCCCCTCAACTTCATGCTGGGTGATGTCGAGAGCTGACCAAGTGCTCACTACATGTATGTTGGATACTAATTAATAAATAAGAACCAATTGACTTGGATGAATGGAAGGAGATCAGGAGGGAGAGAAAGCAGGAAGCAGTGAGAACTGAGTAGAGGGTGTTTCATGTGACTGTTGGATTTTGTAACTGGAGACCTAAAATAAAAGAGTGTTCTACACATTGTTTGTTGAGAACATAACAATGTATAGGAAGGACTGAAATAATAATAATCCTTGCATTTGATATAGTGCATTATCACGTCATTGAGACGTCTCAAAGCGCTTCACAGAATATACTGTAAAGTGGATTGACTGTGTATTCTGTTTTTGAAATGTCCCAGACAATTGCACTCGACAGTGTTCAAAATGCACACCTGTGCTAGTAATAATAATAATCTTTACATCTAATACAGCGCTGTTCACATTGAAAGGATGTTCTCAAAGCGCTTTGCAGGATTCTCTGTGAAGTATATTGGGTGTGCATTTATAGGCAAAAGGCCAATTTGCATACTGCAATGTCCCACAAACAGCCATGCAGTGAATGGTCAATTTTCGCTCACAGTCAATTCACTTTACAAGATATTCTGTGAAGTACTTTGAGACGTCTCAACAACGATTTTATCTGGAGGATGGTTGGCCAGGACACTGGTAGAAATTCCCTTCTTTTTTCGAGAACTGTTGCTGGATCTTTGATGAACAGGCACAGATGTTACTCTGTTTAACACCTCATCCAAAAGACACTGCCACCAACAATGAGGGGCTTTCCTGAGCAGTGTACTGGAGCATCAGCCCAGATTATATGAGCTTGAACCCACATCCGCTTTACTTAGAGGCGAGAATGCAACCACCAGTGCAGGCTGCCACCTCATACATACTGGTTTAACGTTCATTCCGTGGGTAACCTTGCGACATGGGCAGGAAATGGAATATCCAATGGAGGGTTTGTTTCAGTCTGCAACTGCGTAATGACAAACTACAACAAACAACAAAATGACATTTGTATAGCGCCTTTCACATCGGAAGGACGTCCCAAGGCGTTGGACAGACAGAGTTTCGGACATGAGCTGGGGGTCGGGAGTGGGGAGGGCAGGGGGGGAAGCAGGGAGATCAAAAACATGATCGAAGAGCAGGGTCTTGAGGTGGATCTTGAAGGTGGTGAGGGAGGGGGCGAGACGGTTGGCCTACAGGATGGAGTTCCAGAGGGTGGAGGCAGGGTGGAGGAAGGCCCGCCCGTCGATAGTGGGGCGAGCAAGGTGGGGGACGTGAAGCAGGCCGGAGCCCGCTGAGCGGAGGGAGCGAACATGATGGTAAGGGGTTAGGAGGTTGGAGAGGTAGGGGGAGCAAGACCGTGGAGGGCTTGAAGGTGAGGACCAGGATCTTGAACTGTATCTTCTGTGTGATGGGAAGTCAGTGGAGTCGGGTGAGGACGGGGGTGATAGGGTCACGGAGCCTATTGTGAAAGAGGACATGAGCTGCAGAGTTCTGGATGATCTGCAGCCCATGGAGGGAGGAGTTGGGGAGGCCGACAAGCAGTGAGTTTGCATAGTCGAGCCTCGATTTAATGAAGGTGTGTATGAGGGTTTCGGCGGCCTGCAGTGTGAGACAGCGTTGGAGCTGGGTGACGTTGCGAAGGTGGGAGAAGGCAGAACGAATGTGGGGTAGAAAGGATAGTTGAGGGTCAAACAAGACCCCAAGTTTCCGGATTGGCTTATCAAGCTGGAGTGTGGGTCCAAGGACGGTGATGCTGTCAGTGCCTGAGGTGAGGAGGCGCTGACGAGAATCAATCAGGAGAGCCTCAGTCTTGTTGATGTTCAACTGAAGAAAGTTAGCTCTCATCCAGGACTTGAACCCAAGATCTCTCTCTGTCGTTTCACTTCTATCCTGTTCCCCAGCCACGCCTGCTCCTGTTCTGAGTCCAGTGACCCAAGCTGGGCTCCAAAAAAGACTTGGAGGCTCTGGTATGGTGACTCTCCACTCAGCCGCTGAATATCTTACTTACGTCTCAGCCTGGCCGAGTCAGTAATGTCTTCACCTCAGTGGGAAGATTGTGATCTTAAGCTGTTACACTCCCACCTGGTGGGCACTTTAAGCTCTTTGTCCAAGACTTAGTCAAGTGCTCTGGGACACTACCCTGCATGAGGGTCACTCTATAAACCCAAGTTGTTGTTGTGCTGATGCTCCAGCTCAGTACTGGGGGAAGTGTTGCATTGCCAGAGGGGTCACCCTTTGCATGAGAAGTTACAGTGAGGTCCCGCCTGTGCCTTTTGAGGTGGATGTTAAAGATTCCACAACACTGTCAGTGAAGAGGGAGGAATTTCTCCCGGTATTCTGGCTGATAATTCCCCAGATAAATCGCTCATTCACTTTACAGCTATTTTTCACATATTGCTGTGAGTAAAATGGCTGCCCTCTCTGCTTACAAATCACAGTCACTCCATTTGATAGTGACAAAACAATATTACGTGCTATAAAAATGTTCCTTCCTGTCTTGCTCCATCCCTTCCTGCTCTTTCTTATGCCATTTTATCATTTGCTAATTATACTTTTTCAACTGAGTAATGGGCTTTGAGCTGTCCTCCAGACATGAAGATGCTATACAAATGTATTTTTTCTGTATTAATTCCACCTTCCGGCTCCCTCCCCATCCCCTTAATATTTTCACTCCTCAGCTGTTTATCCAGTTCCCTTTTGAACAATTCTATGAATCCGGCCTCAGTGGCCACTCGTAGGAACAATAATAATAAATAACAATTCTTGCATTTAATATAGCGCCTTATATCGTTGAAACAACAACAACTTGGACGTATGTAGTGCCCTCTACGCAGGGTAGCATTTCAGAGCACTTAACAGTGGAGGAGCCTGACTCCGAGCTGGGGGCAGGGTGGAGGTGTCCGTAAACATAGTCGAAAAGATATCTCAAATTGCTTCACTAAAAATACCGTAAAGTGGATTGACTGGATCTGTGGGTGAAACGTGGCAGCCAATTGCACACACAGTCCCACAGACAGTCGTGGATTGAGTGGCCACATGTTTCTCAAGGGTTTTGAGGACTTAGGAACATAGAAATAGGAGGAGGCCATTCAGCTCTTCGAGCCTGTTTTGCCATTTAATTAGATCATGGCTGATCTGAACCTCAACTAATCGTTTCAATTCCAATTTCCCGCTTTCTCCTCATATTCCTCAATACCACGACCTACCAAAAAATCTATTAACCTCACTTTTGAATAATAATAATAATCCTTGCATTTGATAAAGCGCTTTTCACGGCTTCTAGACGTCTCAAAGCGCTTTACAGAACATACTGTAAAGTGAATTGACTGTATATTTCTGGGTGAAATGCGGCAGCCAATTGCACACAGCAGTGTCCCACAAACAGTCGTGGATTGAGTGACCAAATTGTTATTGCTTTTTTTTTCTTGAGGGATTATTAGGCGTGTGGAGTAAGGAAACTTGCCCAAGGTTTCACCCTGTCGGGAATCGAACCCAGGTCTCTCACTTGCAAGGCTAGTGCTATAACCACTGAGCTACAGGACTCTACACCTTGAAGGTGTGGATGGATCCAGCATCACAGCCGTTTGGGGGAGAGAATTCCAGATTTCTAAGGTTTCAACCCACCCGGGAGTCGAACCCAGGTCTTCTCGCTTGTGAGGCGAGTGCTCTAACCACTACTCTTTAGGAATTCACAATGAATCCCAAGCCCTGATAAGTCTTTGAGTGAGGAGAATCTTCCTAACTTCTCTCCTGGTTTAGTGCTGTGGATTGTGGGCGTTCAGTTGCTGAATGGACATTTGTTATGTGTTTATTACAGATCGATTGTCAGAACTACATCCGTATCTTGGAGTTCTGGAACAGCACTCACCTCTTTGTCTGTGGGACCTATGCCTTTGACCCGCAATGCACGTACATCGTAAGTTCCTTCACTCTACCCCTTTATATTATAGCTCCTTTCCTTAAAGTTAAGGCCAGTAGAGGATAAGACTGAGATGAGGGAAAACCTCTCTCAAGTGATATATATGTGGAACGAACACACACACACACACACAGAGGTGAGAAAGCCACAGATGAGAGCTCAGTTAAGGAATTGAAGAAAGAGATGGACAGATTCTCAGAGAGCGAAAATATAAAGGAATGTGGTGGGGAGGTGGGATTGTGGGCTACTGAACGATTTGTGATGGAGTGGGCTTGTTGGGCTGAATGGACTCCACTTGTGCCTGATTTTCTTTGTCAGAGAAAATGAGGCAATAAAATGGCTATAAGATGCAAGCACAAGTGGAGGAAGGGTATTAGAGGGTATGGGGTGGGGGGAAGCAAATATTTGGGATGAGGATAGATGGAGGGGTGAAGACCCACAATAATACAATTGGTTAAAGTTCTTCTTGCTATGAGGGGGAATTCACAGTTTATGTGGATGAATTAAGTTTCTGATATTGATCACCTCAGATGTGACTCTAATGACCGGTTAGAGGAGATACAAGGATTTTACTGAGTAAAACCGTCAGAATGACACATGTGGGATTCAACTCAACATCTTCTCAGACCCGTAGTCTTACAGGGATTTCTAACAACAACTTGCATTTATATAGCACCCCACACACAAGGTAGGATCCCAGAGCACTTGACAGTGGCGGAGCACAACACCAAGCCAGGTTGAGAAGGGAGGTGACTAGGCATGGTCGAAGAGGAAGATCTTGAGGTGTGACCTGAAAATGGGGAAGGAAGGGGCAAGGAGGAGGGATTGAGGGAGAGTGTTCCAGAGTTTCAGGATGTAGTGGCTGAAAGTGTGGCCACCGATGGTGGAATGGAGGGACATGCTGGAGACTGGAACCAGTCGAGCGGAGGCAGCAGGTAGTGGGCTGGGCAGTAAGCAGATTGGCGAGGTAGGGGGCTGCCAGGGCATGAAGGGATTTGAAGATGAGTGAGAGGATCTGGAAATGGATCCATTTGGTGATAGGGAGCCAGTGGAGCCTGCATTGCCCTCTGGCAAATCACCAGTCACTTGAGGAGACTGATTACCTGGACCTGGGCCCTAAATTTCCAACTACTCTCAGCCTATGGGACCATTTTGTTTTAAAAAATTTAAGCTGGTGGCGAATTGTGAAAAATTCTTAACTATGGTCTCAACTTGGAAGCTGCTGAGTGTTTACGAGCTATGTAAACCTGAGTTCTCAACACAGACTGAATTTAGGAAATTTCCAATTTTCAATTGCCACGTCTCATGCCCGGCCGGCTCCACCATTGGCAGTCGGGCCTTCAGCCTCATTTCTCCCACCCTTTGGAACTCCATCCCACCCTCCTACCCTCCCTGACCTCCACCCCTCCCCTGAATCCAAATCCAAATCCCTAACTGTCCAGTGCCTTGGGACGTTCTCCTGATGTGAAAGGTGCTGTACAAATATAATTGAGACTCCCGGCAACCTTGTGTTTCAGAGACTCTTGGATTTTGCGATGGGGTCGGTGCACAGAGAGTTCCAGATGGAGAGTGGGCGATGGAAGTGTCCATTTGAACCAGGGCAGTCGGTCACAGCAACACTGGCAGGTAAAGACCATACGTCCCATAGGGAGGTTTTCTAACCAGTAGCGCTCTGCCCCCACAGCACAGCTTTGCTCCCAGCACAGCTCCTCCCTAGTATCTTTACTGGAGCTGGTGCTACCTCCATCTCATCTTCTGATACCACCCGCAGTGCATCTCTGCATATTACATTCAATGGATCTCTCCAGTATTGTACAAAGTGGATCTCTCCAGGTATTGAATCTAGTGAATTTCTCTAGGCATTGAATTCAATGGATCTCTCCAGATATTACACCCAACAGATCTCTATAGATATTATCTCCAGTGGATCTCATCAGATTTTTGTTTTGCTACTTGTCTCCCTCCTCTCCCCTCCTCAGAGCGCTGGCTGACCTATTACTGGGATACGCTTCCACAGGAATCGGCTGCAGACTCACTGCCCTCCACCCCCCCACTCCAGTGTCCATTCGTCATGTGTGAGAGGAGACATTGAGCATCAGCAGGGATTTTTTCGTTGGGGGTGTGTGGAGGGAGAAGTCGCAGCTAAACCCAATCCTTTCTTTATCCATCGTGCAAACACCACGCTCACTGAACCTTCAGTGCGGGTCTCTTGTACACAGAGATCATGCAGAACTTTTGGATGAAACATAGAATCTTACGTTCGACCCATTGTGCCTCTGAATGACCTTCCTGTTCAGTCTCACTCCCTAGCACTTTCTTTCTCTCCCCGCACCCCCACTCACCTGCACTTTTCTACAGTTTTCCTTATTAAATATTTTCAAATTCCCTTTAAATAATAATAATAATAATAATCCTTGCATTTGATATAGCTCGTTATCACGAGGTTGAGATATCTCAAAGCACTTCACAGAATATACTGTAAAGTGAATTGACCGTGTATTTTGTGGGCGAAACACGGTAGCAATTTGCGCACAGCAGTGTCCCACAAACAGTTGTGGATTGAGTGACCGAATTATAAATTTTTTGAAGGAATTATTACTCCCAGAAAGTGATCCACCAATTGCCTGACAACTGGGATTCTACTTACTGCTAGGTAAACAGAGGCATTTGGAGTAAGGAAACTTGCCTAAGGTTTTGGAAATCAAACCCAGATCATCTCGCTTGTGAGGCAACCGTGTTAACCACTACACTACGGGACTCCACTTGTCAAATCTATTGTGGTCTCTGCTTCAGCACGTGTTTAAGGCAGATGGGTCTCACCCCACCCTCCGTATGTGTTTTGTTGCAGATGGGGTGCTGTATGCAGCCACTGTGAACAACTTCCTGGGCACTGAGTCCATCATCTCCAGGACGATGGGCCCCACGGAGAAGAGGGTTCGCACAGTCCCCTCTGTAGAATGGCTGAATGGTGAGAGTTTCTTACTTTGCTTCCCCCCAGTTATTAACTTTATTAATAATAATAAAAAGAAGTGACATCGAGAAACAACCTCACAATAATCTGTGATTCACAAGTACATAGAGACATGACAAGCAACAACAACATCAACAACAAAATTACATTTGTAAAGCGCCTTTCATGTCGGGAAAGGCACTGGACAGACAGAGTTATGGACCCGAGCTGGGGGTCGGGTTCGGGGAGGTTGGAGGGCAGGAGGGATGCAGGGAGATCGAAAGCGTGGTTGAAGAGGAGGGTCTTGACATGGGTGTTGAAGGCGGCAAAGGAGGGGGCGAGGCGGAGGGACTGTAGGATGGAGTTCCAAAGGGTAGGGGCAGAGTGGCGGAAGGCCCACCCGTCAATAGTGGGGCAAGTGAGGCGGATGATGTGAAGCAGGCCAGAGCCCGCTGAGCGGGGGGAGCGAGCAGGATGGTAGGTATTAGGAAGTCACAGAGGTAGGGGGAGTAAGACTGTGGAGGGCTTTTGAACTGTATCCTGTGGTGGGAAGACAATGGAATTGTCATTTTGAACTGTATCCTCTGTGTGATGGGAAGACAGTGGAGTCGGGTGAAGATGGGGTTGATAGGGTCACGGAGCCTGGTCTGGGAGAGGACACGGGCTGCAGAGTTCTAGATGATCTGCAGCCTGTGGAGGGAGGAGATGTGGAGGCCGATGAGCAGTGAGTTTGCATAGTCAAGCCTCGATGTAATTAAAGCATGTATGAGGGTTTCGGCAGCCTGCAGTCTGAGACAGTGGTGGAGCTGGGCGAGAGGGGGGAGAGAGAGTGTGAGGCCATAGAGAGTGTGAGAGAGGGGTAAGAACAGGGGTGAGAGAGAGAGAGAGAGATTGTGAGAGGAGAGAGAGATTGATTGAGCGAAGGGGAGAGCAGAGAGAGAGAGAAAGAGAAGCAGCTGTAACAGAAAGAATCCAATAGATCAGTGTGGTCCAACTGGTCTGCTTGTGGGCCACAGTGGTGGGTGATTTTATCCAGCCCGAGACCATTTCCAACTTCTGCCTCCACCCTCCCCGGTGAACGTCCTCCCAGAGCAATGGCAGTAGCTGGCGGTTTGGAGGACACAGCGTAAATAGTGGAAATAATACCAGCCGTTGCTGCAGTCTGTCATGAAGGCAAGCATGTCTATTACCAACCGCATCCTTAGCAGCCATCAGCTGCTGCGGATGGGAGAGAGGTGTTGGAGAGGGATAGAGGGGGAGAGATGGGTGGGGAGAGAAAGGTGGGAGAGAGGTGAGGGAGAGAGAGGGGATGGAGAGATGTGGAGAGAGAGCAGAGGGGTGAGAGAGTATGTGTGAGAGAGAGGTAAGAACGTGGGGGTGGTGAGACAGAGAGGAGGGAGAGAGCAAGTGATTGAGAGGAGAGAGCAGAAAGAAATTGAGAGAGTGTGAGAGGGGGCAAGAGAGTGTGAGAGAGAGGTAAGAACTGGGGAGTGTGTGAGAGAGAGAGAGAGACTGAAGGGGGGGGAGACAGAGTGATTGAGAGAAGGAGAGCAGAGAGGGTGAGAATGTGAGAGGGGGAAAGAGTGTGAGGGGGAGGATGTGGGGGAGAGAGACAAACAGAGAGGGTGATTGAGAGAGTCTGAGAGGGGATATAGAGATTGTATGTGTGAGAGTGGGGAGTGAGAGCGAGTAATTCAGAGGGAGAGAGTGATTGAGGGAGAGAGAGCATGAGAGAGACTGAGAAACAAAAAGAGTGAGAGCAGAGAGAGAGGAGACGTGTTTTGTGGTTCACTGTCAGGACAAACAATTGGAGTCTCCCTCGGATGCTGTGGAGGGGACCGAGGATAGACACCGAGATACATACTGTGCAGTTTCTTCACAGAAAGATCCCTCTTTCCCCCGTGAGAAACTCACCCCCAGCTCAGGAGCCCAGCTGACAGTGTCAAGATGTCCTCCCAACATGAAAAAGAATGCTGTGTAAATATTGTTATGTTTCTGTAAGGAAAATACAACATCTTGCTTATGCCGTCCGGGTTCTTTTCTCAAATAGGGCATCCGGCCCGCGGCAACCAAAAGGTTGGACGACACTGAAATAGATTGTGCATGTAGTATTATTAATGCGGCTATCTCAAGCTATTACAGTATAAAAAATAAGGGACTCGAGAAAATCAGGAAATATATTGATCTACAAATTGAATGTGAAAGTATCTGGCAATGTAAAACACACTTAGTTCCTACAATCATCGGTGCAACTGGCACTGTTAATAACACTTCAACCTTCTGACTCAGAGACGAGGGTATTACCACTGAGCCAGGCTGACACACGGCTGTTTACGGCTGTTTGTGGCACATTGTTTGCACGTTGGCTGCTGCCTTTGCCGACAAAATATACAAATGCACAATTGCTACACTTACAGTAAAACCCTGTCAAGTGCTTTGAGATGCTTGGGTGACATAATAAGGCATGATTTTATCAACTGTAAGGATGATACAAGCCTAAGGCAGAACTTGGAGCTCAAAGTCTAGGCTGACCCTCCAATCCAGTGCTGCTTTGTCAGAGGCACCATCCTTCAAATGAGACATTGAACCAAGGTGATGTTTATGCCTGTTTGAGCAGATGTTAAAGATGGCACTACACGAAAAGAGAAGAAGTTTCTCACAGTGTCCTGGCTGACAATTCCTGAGATAAAATTAGTCATTCCCTTCATGTCTGTTTGTGTGACATTTCTGTGTCCAAAATGCCTGTTTGGTTTGCCTACACTTTACAGTAAATCCTTTGAAATGTGTCCTCCCAGATATCAGGTTCTTGTGTATTTATTTTTATCTGTGTAGGTCTTTCTCTCTCTGCCTTTAACACTGTGTGAGCTTGTGTGTTTTGTGTGTGTGTGTGTCTTTATCTCTGCCTTTCACTCTATTTCAGAGTGTGTGTGTGTGTCTCTCTCTCTCTGGTGCCTCTCTATGTGAGAGTGTGTGCGTGTCTCTCGTTCTCTGAGTCACAAGAAATCAATCATTGTGTTCAAGTTTCCAAACTAAACTATTGAGCTCCACGTAATGTGAGGTTTTTAAAGGGAATTGGGTAGATGCTTAAAGAAGAGATATTAAAGGGTATGGGGACGGAGTGGGAGAGTGGGGTGACTAAGGAAAGGGGGGCTTTAGTAATAAAATCTCTAGAGCAGAATGGATTGGCTGAACAGGCTGTTTTTGTGCCGGAACATAGTGTGGTTCCTTATCATGCTGACACATCTCAAATAACATGGTGCGGTGGATGACAACGGAGCCTTGTGTACTCAGCCCTTTAATAATAATCTTTGTTTTTGCTATGACTTTGCAATTGAAACTACAGTTATAAAGTCTGGTGAAACAGATCAGTAAGCTTCAACCCCTAATACAGCGATCATTATTGGGTGTAAATGGCTTAGTCTAGGTCAAGTGGTTCTCGAACACATTTATTTGGTTGCTTCAACATGTGGCCACCAACACTTACAGGAGAGAAGGAGAGAGAGAGAGAGAGAGAGAGAGAGAGGGAGGGAGGGAGAGAGAGATGAAGAGGGAGGGAGAAACGGAAAAGGAGGGAGAGACGGAGAGAGAAAGAGAGGGACGGAGAGAGAGAAAAAGAGAGGGACCAAGAGAGGGAGAGAGAGGGGGACAGAGAGAGAGAGAGAGTGATGGAGAGAGAGTGCGAGGATGTCTGGGGACTTGGAAAAAAATAACCTTACATTTGGGTGTTCGCTATAAGAAGTTCATTAATACGAATGCCAGAAATAACTGAACATTACAGATGGTGAGCAGTCATCTATTAAAGGGGAAGAGAAGCATGTGTTTGGGGTGAGAGGGGGCCTGTGTGAGTGGCTGCCCTGTGCTCTCTTTCTCCGTTGCTTGGATCTCCCTCCAGCCCTACTCCAGCTCCGGCGAGATCTCCCTCCAATCCCCATCCCCGCCAGGGAGAGCATGTGCATGGCTCTCAGAAGAGAGGCTCCCCCTATCGTCTGACCCACCGTGATGTGGAGAGATGGAATCGAGTGTGGTTTGTTATGTCAGGGGCTGCACTGCTTCAGTGATTGCTGTATCAATAGGAAAAAACGGGTCTCAATGTTGAGTTTGTTATAACCAGAGGGATCGTACTACCAGGGATCGTTATACTGAGGTCAGTCTATATTATTCACTGGAGAATTTAGTGGTGGGATGGGCCAATTTGGTAGCTTTCAAACAGCCAGCGCAGGCACGATGGGCCAAATGGTCTCCTACTGTGTTGCAAGAATCTATGATTTGTAAAACATTTTGATATTGGTATAAACATCAACCAGCAAAAGTGACATCAAGAAATAACATCACAATAATCTGGGATTAACAACCAGATACAGATAGAACAGTAAGCTGTAACAAACAGATATTATCATAAAGAACCAAATAGATTGTACATGTAGTATTATTTATATGCCTATCAATGCAATGATAGTGATTACAATGCAATAAATAAGGAGTGAGAGAAGATCAGGAAATATGCTCTTTAAGCACTCTGAGACGCTACCTCGTGTGGAGGGCACTATGTAAGTGCAAGTTGTTGTTGAAATATATCGATCTACAAATTGCAGAGGTATGTGACAATATAAAAGAAACATAGTTGTTATAATCATCAGTGCAACTGGAATTGTTAATAAGACTGATCAGAAATGGCTAAAGCAGGTTGGTCCCTCTCAATCAGATTCTTTCTCAAGCTAAAGTAGCTCTCCTCAGATAATTTTTGAGGGATTATTACCTCTGGTTAGAGAACCGTCAATCGACCAACAACTGGGTTTCTACTTACAACAACATAAAAATTACATTTGTGAAGCGCCTTTCACATCGGGAGGATGTCCCAAGGCGCTGGACAGACAGAGTTTTGGACCCGAGCTGAGGGTCAGGGTGGGGGGAGGGCAGGGAGAGAAGCAGGGAGATTGAAAGCACGATCAAAGAGGAGGGTCTTGAGGTGGGTCTTGAAGGTGGTGAGGGAGGGGGCGAGATGGATGGACTGCGGGATGAAATTCCAGAGGGTGGGGGCAGAGTGGTGGAAGGCCTGCCCACCGATAGTCGGGGGGTGTGAAGGCGGGGGATGTGAGGCAGGCCGGAGCTCGCTGAGTAGAGGGAGCTAAAAGGCTGGTAGGAGGTTAGGAGCTCGGAGAGGTGGGGGGAGCAATTCTGTGGAGGGTTTTGAAGGTGAGGATCAGGATCTTGAGCTGTATCCTCTGTGTGATGGAAAGTCAGTGGAGTTGGGTAAGGATGGAGGTGATGGGGTCGTGGAGTCTATTGCGGGAGAGGACATGAGCTGCAGAGTTCTGGATGATCTTCAGCCTGTGGAGGGAGGAGTTAGGGAGGCTAACAAGCAGTGAGTTTGCATAGTCGAACCTCGATGTAATGAAAACGTGTATGAGGGTTTCGGCGGCCTGCGGTGTGGGATAGTGTCGGAGCTGGGCATCGTTGTGGAGGTGGGGGAAGGCAGAGCGGGTCATGGCCCAGGTATTTACTGCGAGGTTAACAGAGTCGTGGGGAGTAAGAAAACTTGGTTTAGGTTTCGTCTTGCCCAGGAATCAAACCGGGTTCTCTTGCCTGTGCGGCAAGGGCTCTAACTAATACACTACAGGACTCCCATCAAAGCATTGAATGGCAGAAGCTAGACTATTTACTCTTCAGTGATCACGATCACAGGACCAGCCAACAAATTCACAATCTGTCTAGTGCATAAACCAGCTGTTACGAGCTGTTGACACATGGCGACAGCAGCGGGAGCTGGCACTCTGTCAAGCACTTCCTAGAAATAACCACAAAAACAACATATCATGTGCCAGAACTTGAGTAAGTGTCTGCCTCTTCACAGCCCATCACAGGTTGGGAACCGGTCAAGCCACAGGATCTTACAGCACGGAACGAGGCCATTTGGCCCATCGTGTTTGTATTGTCTCTCTTAAAGAGAGAAACCAGGAGATTCCTGTTGTGTAGTGGTTAAAGCCCTCACCTCGCAAGCAAGAGGACCCTGGGCAGGGCGAGACCTTAGGCAAGTTTCCTTAAGCCACATGCCTCTGTTTACCTAGCAGTAGGTAGGAACTCAGTTGTTAGTAGATTGGCGGATCATTTTCCAGGGGTAATAATCCCTTCAAAATAAATAAATAAATAAATGAGTGAGTGAGTGAGCGAGCGAGTGAGTAAATAAATAAATTGGTCACTCAATCCTCGACTGCTTGTGGGATATTGCTGTGGCGCGTTTCGCACACAATATACACAGTCAATCCACTTTGCAGTATGTTCTACGAAGCTCTTTGAGACGTCTCGTTGATAAGATGCTAAATCAAATGTAAGGATTATTATTATTAGACCCATAAGAGCTCTGTGTTCGGGTCCTATTTCTTTGCCCTTTCTGTATACTTTGTGGGTGAAATTATTAGCCAATTTGTGCACCACAATGTACCCCCAAAAGTTGTGAAACAAATGACAAATTTTATTTGGGGATTGTTGGTCAGAACACCAGGAGAGAAAGAGATTCCCTTCTTTTCTCAAATAGTGCCAAGCGATCTTTAACATCCATCAGAACAGGCAGATGGGACCTTGGTTCAATCTGTCATCCCAAAGATAGCACCTCCAACAAAGGAGCCCTCCTCATAGCAATGTAATGCAGCATTAGCCTACAATGTGAGCTCAGAATCCTAGGGGCTTGAACCCAGAATCTAATAATTCTTTCAAAAAAATAATAATACTAAATTGATCACTTCAATAAACGACCATTTGTGGGACACTGCTGCGTCCAATTGGCTGCTGCGTTTCACCCACAAAATATACAGTCAATTCACTTTACAGTGTATTCTGTGAAGCACTTTGAGACGTCTCAAAGACATGATAAGGTGCTGTATCAATACGAGGATTATTATATTATCAATCTTCTGACTCAGAGGTAAGAGTGCGACAGATTGAGCCAGGCTAACACTAACCTATACAGAAAAAGACAAAATGTCTATCTGTGTGTCTGTCCACCAAGAATGCAATAACCGATTGACGTAGAGACATAATTTATACCTCATTGGAAAGGTCTTGCGTGGGGGAGTGTCATGGGCATTTTATTCTTTGAGGATCTCCTATCCTTGATGAGCTATGAGCTAAACAAACTCATCGCACATGTATGGATTCCAACAAGGAGTCCTACCAACAGGAGTCCTACCAAACAGGATTCCTCCCACAGAAGTCCTCCTGCTGAGGCCTCCCCACTGAGGCACATTTTCTTAATCTTAAGGGATAAAGATTCCTAAGAGGTGAAGATCAAACCTGTCAAGGACAAATAAAAATGCGAGGCGAAAGAGAGAAGTCCGATTAAATGAAACTGAAGAACAAAGAACAGCACGGTTGTACTTCGATGCAGAAAGGAATACAAAAACACAGCAAAATGAATTGCCTGCTCAAAGAACAGCACGATGGGACTTGATTGCTGAAAGTACTGCAAGAGCACGGCAAAATTAGTTGCCCACTCAAACAATATGATCTATCATTCATAAGCTTTGACTGAAACAAGCTCATCGCACATGTTTTGCTTAAAGTGTACATACAACAACAATAGCAAAATTGCATTTATAGAGCGCCTTTCATATCGGGAGGACGTCCCAAAGCGCTGACCAGTCAGGTGTTGGGGCCCGAGCATGGGGGAAGGGTGGTGTAGGGGAGAGGGAAGGCAGAGAGGTGGGACGGTGACCAAAGGCACAATCGAAGAGAAGGGTCTTGAGACCGGCCTTGAAGGAAGCGAGGGAGGAAGCGAGGCGAAGGGACCGTGGGATGGGGTTCCAGAGTGTGGGGGCAGAGAGGCTGAAAGCCCGGCCACCGATGGTAGGGTGGGTCAGGCAGGAGACATGGAGCAGACCGGAGCCCGCTGAGCGGAGGGAGCGGGCAGGTTGGTAGGAAGTCAGCAGGTCAGAGAGGTAAGAGGAGGCAAGGCCATGGATGGCCTTAAAGGTGAGTGCGAGGATCTTAAACTCAATCCTCTGGGGGATGGAGAGCCAGTGGAGTTGGGCGAGGGTTGGAGTGATGGGGTCACGGAGCCTGGTGAGCGAGAGTACACGAGCTACAGAGTTTTGGATGATCTGCAGCTTGTGAAGGGAAGAGTTGGGAAGGCCGATGAGGAGGGAGTTTCCATAATCGAGCCTTGATGTGAATAATGCATGGGTGAGGGCTTTGGCAGCCTGAGGGGTGAGGCAGTGGCGGAGTCTGGCAATGTTGCGGAGGTGGTGGTAGGCAGTGCCGGTCATGGCGCGGACGTTGGGGAGAAAGGACAGTTCAGGGTCAAATAAGACATACAGTGTTTATGATATGTTAAATGGTTTGTGAGTGGTATTACTGAAATCTGCATTCCATATTGGATCCTTTGGTTGCAAGCTTAGCTGCAACAGATACAGCTAGTTATTATATAAATAGGCCTGTAGCTTAGTGGTTAGAACATACTCCTCACAAGTGAGAGGACCTGGGATTGATTCGCTGGCAGAGCGAAACGTTGGGCAAGTTTCGTTACTCCATTCGCCTCTGGTTACCTAGCCATGTAGGAACCTGGTTGATTGGCGTTGATTGGCGGATCGCTTTCCCGGAGAAAATAATCTCTTAAAAAAATAAATACTAGTTTGGTAACTCAGTCCACGACTGCTTGTGGGACACTGCTGTGCGCAATTGCCTGCCGTGTTTCGCCCACAAAATATACAGTCAATTCACTTTACAGTGTGTTCTGTGAAGCGCTTTGGGACGTCCTCCCGACGTGAAAGGCGCTATATCAAATGCAAGGATTATTATTAGTATTAAAGTATATTCCTTCAATCGCTTTGAGACGTTTCAATGATGTGATAAGACACTATATCAAACGCAAGGATTATATTAAAATGCTTCCTCTTTCCCCCCTTCAGATCCTACATTTGTGGCATCAGCGTTTATCAGAGAGAGTGAGAGCAGCAACGACGATGACAAGCTGTATTTCTTCTTCACGGAGACAGCCAGAGATTTTGACTTCTACCTGCCAGTGCGGGTGCCACGTGTGGCTCGCGTTTGCAAGGTGTGATGCTGTAGCCTCCTAACCGAGGGGGAGATGATCCCCTAGTATGCCCTGGCACCTACCTCCCTACCACTCTCACCTACTTACTCCTCAACCCACTACCCGCTGCCTCCGTTCGTTCGGCTCTGTCCACCTGCTTGTCCGCCGGCTGTCTTCTTGCTTGTGTCCTTGGAATAACATAGTCTTAAGCTGACACTACTGTGCAGTGCTGAGGGTGGTTGCCCTGTTGGAGGTGCTGTCCTTCGAATGAGACATTAAACCGAAGTCCTTGTTCCGGTGGATGTTAAAGATCTTATGGTACTGTTCGAAAAGAGAAGTGAGTTTCTCTGTGTTGTGCGCAAAGACATGCTGTGTGCAATTGGCTGCTGCGTTTGCCAACATATCGAATCTTTTTTTGAAAATATATATTTATTTAGAAAATATATTTGGTACCACAAAAGCCACAATAAACACAAAAAGCACATTTGGTTATCTGTATCCAGATGCAAACACTACATTCTTTGTGGGGACGCTCTTCTACACAGTGATGTCGGTTTCTGCGGGGTTGGGACCCCGGCGTGTTGGGGTTTAGGGCCGATGTCAGCGCAGCCAGCGTAGGAGCGGCTCTGGATGGGATCAGGCCCCATCTGACTGTGGCTGCGGCTGTGCCGCGCTTCAGTGTGTCCCGAAGCACGTAGTCCCTGATGGTGGAGTGCGTGAGCCTGCAGCAGGCCCTTTCATGGTACTGTGCTAGTAAACCAACAACCAAAATGGCCACCTTCTCTGATGATTCTCCAAGCGTATTTAATGTCAGTCTCACTGTGTAGAAGAATGCTGCGAGATATAATCCTGTCGACGTAGGATAGGTGTTTTGGCTCCAGCAGGCTGTGGAATTCCGAGGCAGTTCTGACAAACCCATTCTTCTCAACACCAATAGCGACTCACACCTGATCACCAGGTTTTCCCGGTGATGGACAGTGAGCGCTGGTGCCACATTCCCAGTTTCTTCCTCACCATCTCTAGATGCTCCTCTCAGCTTTTAGGCCACGCCTCTGTGGCCCCAAACTAGATGCCAAGGATTTTGATGAGGATTTGCCTGACTGCAAATGGGATAAACATGCAGTCACGCCAGTTACCAAAGACCTTGGTTTTCGGTTTACTTTGGCCTCTGAGGCCCTTTTAAAACTGTCGCAAATGCCCAGCAGACTCACGACCGAACAAGCGCTGGTCTGAGCAAAAGACAGTGACGTTGTCCATGTATAGGGTCTCTTGGTTTGTGTGCCATGGCTGCCCGGGATGGTGACACCTCTAATGCTTTTGTCACTCCTTATGGCCTGAGCAAAGGACTCTATGCAACAGACAAACAGAGCCGGGAACAGGGGACACCCCTGCCTGACTCCAGACCTGATGGGGAATGCCTCATCTCAAATCCATTTACTGTGACTGCGCTACAGATGTTTCTGGACCAGCTGGATCCAGTTCAAAATTCCCTCCCCAAAGCCCAGTTTGGAGAGCATCTCGAACATGTAGTCATTTCCTGATCAAGATGGATCAGGCAGGTGTCCATCTCCCTCTCCTGCCTCTAGACGATGGTATCCCTGAGTAGCATGAGGCTATCAGAGAATCAAAATCACAACACGATGTTATAAGTGTTCTAAAAAGGGTAGGTTTTGGATTTGCTGCTTAAGGAGGTCTCCATCTCCTCCCTTCTGCTTGTGCATTGTTGGAAGTCTTAGAGCACTCGAATCACAAACAAAAGGACCTGGGTTCGATTCTGGGGTGGAGTGAAACATTAGGCAAGTTTCTTTACTTCACACCTCTCTGTTTACCTAGCAGTAAGAAATGAACCTGGTTGTTAGTCGATTAGTGGATCACTTTCCGTGGGTAATAATTCTCCCACCCCCAAAAGAATTTGGTCACTCAATTCATGACCGTTTGTGAGACACTGGTGTGCACAATTGGCTGCGCGTGATACCCACAAAATATACAGTCAATTCACGTCATAGTATATTCTGTGAAGCGCTTTCGAGATGTCTTGAAGACCTGATAAGGCGCTATATCAAACGCAAGGATTCTTATTATTATCGATTGGTCGGTGTTTTGCATCATGTTGTGGGTAGTCCGTGAGCTCTCACACAATCTCTCTCTCTCTCTCTCTCTCTCTCTGACGTACATTCCGCAGGGCGACCTTGGGGGGCTGAAGACGCTGCAGAAGAAATGGACCACATTCCTTAAAGCTCACTTGTACTGCTCACACGGGGATAAGATGGTTTTTGACGAGGTTCAGGACGTCTACACCCTGCAGGCTACTACAGGCGACGACACTTCCATAACCTTCTACGGAGTCTTCTCTGCCAGATGGTAAGCGAGCGTTGAATCACATGCATCGTTCTAGGTTCTTTGGTCACCACACTTTTCTGGCTCACCTCTAGAACTTGGAAGGGCAGACTAGTCGCTGGAGTTTGGGAGTCATACCACTTGGTTCTCGACAACATAATAATAATAATAATAATCCTTGCATTTGATATAGCGCTTTTCACGTCGGGAGGATGTCCCAAAGCGCTTCACAGAACACACTGTAAAGTGAATTGACTGTATATTTATGGGCGAACGCGGCAGCCAATTGCGCACAGCAATGTCCCACAAACAGTCATGGATTGAAAATGACCAATTTTATTATTGTTTTTGGTTTTGGAGGGATTATTATTAGGCGTGTGGAGTAAGGAAACTTGCCCAAGGTTTCGCCCTGACCTGCCTGGAATTGAACTCAGGTCTCTCGCTTGCAAAGCGAGTGCTCTAACCACTGAGCTACAGGACTCCATGAGCCTATCATGCTCTGGTAGGATGAATGCATCCCTCCGGGAGAGAGTGCATATTCCAGTAACACAAATTTCTACGTGTAAGTGGCATTCTTGAGCCAGAGGTTGTGGTTTAAGACCCTCTTCAGGATTTGATCTCACATAGTCTAAGCTATTGCTCCATTGCAGTGTGGGGAGAGTGCTACAATGTCAACAACAGCAACTTGCATTTATATAGCATTCCAGAGTGCTTGACAGTGGTGGGGCCTGATGCCGAGCCAGGGGGAGGGGGGAGCATAGGCACGGTTGAAGAGGAAGGTCTTAAGGCGTGACCTGAAGATGGGGAAGAAAGGGGCAAGGCGGAGGGATACAGGAAGGGTATTCCAGATTTTCGTGGTTGAAATCGCGGACATTGATGGTGGAAAGGAGGGCATGAGGGACCTGCAGAAGGCTGGAGCCAATCCACCTCCGTCATATTGCACGCCTCCATCCATACCTCACAACAACGCAGCCAAAACCTTTGTCCACACCATCGTCACTTCCCGGCTGGACTATTCCAATGCCCTCCTCGCTGGTCTGGCCAGCTCCACCAGACACAAAATACAATTAATTCAAAACTCCGCCACCGGATACTCACCCGCACTAAACTCTGTATCCCCATCACACCAGTCCTTGCCGGGCTCCACTGGCTCTCAATTACCAAATGGATCTATTTCAAGATCCTCTCACTTGGTTTCAAATCCCTTCATGCCCTCATATCTCCCTCCCTTTCCGACCTGCTTACCCCCCACTCCACCATCGGTGGGCATGTCTTCAGCCACTGCACCACAAAACTCTGGAACTCTCCATCAATCTCTCTGCCTTTCCCCCTCCCTCCCCACTTTCAAATCCCATCTAAAGACCTTCCTTTTTAATCGTGCTAGTCACGTTCCCTCTCCCTCTCTCCCTGGCTCTGTATTAGACAGTCAAGTGCTCTGGGACGTTACCTCGGTGAAGGGTGCTATATAAATGCAAGTTGTTGTGTATAGTGGTGCTCACTGTTAACTTTGGTCCTAATGCTGAGCTAAACTGACACGATTGTGTTGTCCTAGCCTACAATCCCCAGATAAAATTGGTCATTCACTTCAGGGCTATTTGTGGGACTATGTGCAAACTGGCTGCCACGTTCATCTATAATAGTCACTACACTTTACAATAAGACCTTTGAAGTGGTTAGAGACACCTTCCTGATGTGAAATGTGCACTGTATCGAATGTATGTATTCTTCTTTTTCTTATGACAAGAGCAAGGTGTGGTTGTTCTATGTTCGAGTGTAGGATCCCTTGAGCCACAGCTTTGTCTATGACTCTGCTAAACACAGAGAGTCCTGTAACCCTGGCTGTAATCAGGAAGTCACCAAGCAGGTAGTAGTCATACTGGAATCAGTCCGAACTGCAGATCCACTTTCATATGATGCCAGTGTGGCTGAAACTTCTTCTCAATGACTGGTTTCTCTGTCCGGCTTCATGTGTGCAAATTAATTCACTGGTTAAAAAGAAGAACCAATGGAGGAACATACAAACTCCCGAGGAATTAAAATCCCCAGTGACACTCATAATACATGCAGAACACTTCCTAGTTTGTTCACCATCCACGAATAAATAGGAATTGGCATTTCCTCCCAATTAGTTTGGTCTGACTGGTTTGCAGTCTACACTGGTTTCCAGCAAATCTCTCCCTCCCCTCTCCTCCCCCCCACATTATCATAGCCACTCAATGTTTCGTAGAATCCTTCAATCCATTATTTCTCAGTCTGCCAGTTGTCCAAAAATGTGATTACTCAATTCACGACTGTTTGTGGGACACCGCTGTGCGCAGTTGGCTGGTGCGTTTCACCCACAAAATGCAGTCAATCCACTTTACAATATATCCTGTGAAGTGCTTTGAGAGGTCTCAACGACATAATAAGGTGTTGTATCAAATACAAGAATTATTGTTATTGTCTCAATGTCTCAGTGTTGAACAGCACACACACATAAGGGAGAGCTTTCTTCAGCAGTCAGCTTTGGCTCAGTCGGTAGTGTTCTTACATCTGGACCAGAAGGTTTGTGGGTTAACGCCCCCCAACTTGAAGTCACTTGTGAGTTGAAGAATTCTGTGCTGTTGTAGAATCATAGAATCTTCCAACACAGAAGGAGGCCATTCGAGCCAATGTGCCTGTGCCGTTTCATTGAAAGAGCTACCAACTAGTCCCACTCTCTCGCTCTTACCCAATAGGTCTGCAAATTTTTCCTTTTTAAGTACCAATCTATTCCTTTTTGAAGCTATTATTGAATCTGTTTCCACCACCCTTTCAGGCAGTGCATTCCAGACTGTGATAACTCTCCAGGTGAAAAAAAATTCTCATCACTCCTCTGGTTCTTTTTCCAATTTTCTTAAATCTGTGACTTCTGGTTATCGACCCACCCACCAAAGGGCACAGTTTCTCCCTATATACTCATAATTTTGAATACGTCCATTAAAACTCCCCTCAAGAAGAAGAATCCCAGTCTAGTCTGTTCACATAACTGAAGTCCTTCATCTCTGGTATCATTCTGGTAAATCTGTTGTGTTCTTTGTCAATCCATTGTTCTATGTAAATGTCATTACCTTAGTCTCTCACTGCATAAAGCCCCTTCACAAACAGAGACTCTTCAACAATATTTTTATTACTCTAGGGACGACCGCAGTGTGTCCGCAGTGTGTGCCTATACCACCCAGTCCATCCACAGAGTCCTCCAGGGCAAGTTTAAGGATTATAACAGGGCCTCCTGCAAATGGACCGCCTTCTCAGGGAAGATTCCTGAACCGAGGCCTGGCTCAGTAAGTGCAGGATCCACACAACAAACCCATCTTCATTCCACAAGAAGCTGTACCTCAAACAGCTGGAGAATGGGACACAGAGTAACAGCTCACCGGTTCCTCCCTCCTACTCACTGCCTCAATCATGGATAATGTGTCACTTGCTCTGCTGCCGAGCACATTATGTTGTCATTAATGCCAGTACCAAGAGCACACATTATCCTCCCAACATGAAAGGCGCTATACAAATGTAATTATATGTTGTTGTTATATTATCAGACCAGAATGGAATGGTCAAGTGTTGAGGGAGATTTAACGTAGATTTACTATCAGGAAAATCAGCTTCCAAACTCTTGCTCGTCTTTCTTCTTTGATATATTTTTAAATTTGGAAGAGTTACTGAGGTTCAACAGTGTGAGGGAGCTGGAGGAACATCAGAAGATACATGTAGTCAGTGACACTGTGCACTGGCTCGGGGGAGAGCCTGAGTCTGCCAGAGCAAGAGAAATACAGTAAGATTTGACCTGATGACTGCCTGTGACACAACAACAAAATTACATTGTATAGCGCCTTTCACGTCGGGAGGACATCCCAAGATGCTGGACAGACAGTTACGGACCCGAGCTGAGGGTCGGGGTGGGGGAGGGTGGAGGGCGGTGGGTAAGCAGGGAGATCAAAAGCATAGTCGAAGAGGAGGGTCTTGAGGTGGCTCTTGAAGGTGGTGAGGGAGGGGGCGAGACGGAGGGACTGCGAGATGGAGTTCCAGAGGGTAGGTGAAGAGTGGTGGAAGGCCCACCCGCTGATAGTGGTGCGAGCAAGGCGGGGGACGTGAAGCAGGCTGGAGCCCGCTGAGCGGAGGGAGCGAACAGGGTGGTAGGGGGTTAGGAAGTCGCAGAGGTAGGGGGGAGCAAGACCGTGGAGGGCTTTAAAGGTGAGGATCAGGATCTTGAACTGTATCCTCTGTGTGATGGGAAGCCAGTGGAGTTGGGTAAGGATGGGCGTGATAGGGTTGCGGATCCTAGTGCGGGAGAGGACACGGGCTGCAAAGTTCTGGATGATCTTCAGCCTGAGTGGAGGGAGGGGTTGGGGAGGCCAAGCAGTGAATTTGCATAGTCGAGTCTCGATGTAATGAAGGCCTGTATGAGGGTTTCAGCAGCCTGCGGTGTGACACAATGTCGGAGCCGGGCGACATTGCGGAGGTGGGGGAAGGCAGAGTGGGTCATGGCACATATGTGGGGTAGAAAAGATAGTTGAGGGTCAGACAAGACCCCAAGATTCCGGACTCGCTTAGCAAGACGCAAGACACTGGTTTGGACGATGTAAATTGATCTTCCCCCCGCCTCCCCGTAACTCTTTAGTGCATCAGCAAGGAGCTCAGTAAGAATGGGTTTTCATCCATGAACCTGTCGGACGCAGTGCTGACCTTCATTCGAGACCACCCGCTGATGGAGCAGAAGGTGAAGCCAATTGGAAACCGGGCTCTCCTTGTGATGAGAGACACCCTCTACTCCAAGATCGTAGTTCGCAGAGTCAATACCACCAATGGCAGGAGCACTGACGTCTTTTACCTAGGCACAGGTGAGTCAAGTGAAGGCCCCAAACTCCTCTTGGGCCTAAGCCTACTGTGTCAGCCAATCACAGTTGCTAGCTCTCTCGCCTCTGGGGCAAAAGGTTGTGGGTTGGAGCCCCCCCCCCACCCCACATTGGAACTTTTTGCTCACAGTGTGGAGCTGGGGGGAGCACGGCACTGCTGAAATTGCCCTCCTTTGGATGAGACAGCAAACTGAGACATGGGCCAAGATGACAGGTGGCTTGTGCATGAGTCAGGGAATATCGACACAGTGAGGAGAGGGAATGTAGACCACGGAAGAGAACCCAAAAGGCAATTTTCTTTGCGTGGGGGGTCAGCTGGGTGTCTGACACCTGCGGAAGTCCATCACCATGTTTAAGAGTATGTAAACCAAACTGAGAATTCCATGTATCCCACCTACACATGGAAATCCCAGAGATTTCTAGATAGATCCTAGACATAGAAGGCATGTGGCCAGCCCTCTGAAGCCCATCCTCCTGTAAGCTTCCAATGGTTTCTGCCCAAGAGCCGGGATTCCAAAAATAATGTTGGAGGCTGAGACTGGGTGTAATATGAGGGCTGGGATGAGTTGGGGTGGTGTGTGGATTGCCTTGGGGTATGTGGTGGGAAGCCTGTGACGTATTCTGTGTTTTGTGGACAGGCTCTGGACACCTGCACAAGGCTGTGAGCGACGGTGCCCAGGCCCACGTGATAGAGGACAACGTCGTCTTCAGTGACGGTCAGAAGGTCCTGAGCATCGCTCTGGAAAAGGTACTGAGTGCTTGCACTTCACATCTTCTGTGTGGCAAGCTTGTCCAGCTAGGAACACCCTACCCATTAGGGCTTTGGTTTGAAGGGTTAACAGGAGCGGAGTGGGAGGATTCCCTGCCCCCAGTGACTGGTCTGCCCTTCCAGGTCCTGCCGATGAGCCAGGCTGGGCTGTGCTGTCATCAGCAGTGCCCTGGATACAGTGAACCTGCCTGGCTCAGGAACCTGACGAGAGACCGTCACAGAGGCTGGGCTCGATTCTGAAAGTCTGTTGCAAGCATGTCCACCTTGGAGCAAGTTCAGCCCTGAGGGGACCCCACCTACCTTCCCCCCCTAAGTAGGATAAACTTCACATATTTGCTTCAGGTTTGAGGGCTGAGAGTCTGGCACGATTCGAGATCTGTTTTACCTCTTGTGACTCAGCGCAGAATGTTTTGGAACAACAAACTGTTCAGCCCAGACTAGAATCTAGACTATGGTTCACTATAGGATCGAGAGACATTGATATTACTGTAGAATCAAGATCTAAGGTGAACTTACATTTGTATAGTGCCTTTCATGACTGGAGGATGTTCCAAGGCGATGGACAGTCAAGGATTTGCACCCAATCTGGGGATTGGGAGGAGGGGTGGAGGGCAGGGAGGGTGGGTGTAGGAAGGTTACCAAAGGCGCAGTACTTGTGCTTTTTTCCACATGAGCCCCTCCCACAATTTTATTCCACTCCTGCCTCCCCCCATACACAAACACACTTTAATGCTCCTTTTCAAGCACCTGAATCCCTTTCAAAAGAGTGTGTAGACTGTCTGTAGTTTGTAATAGAGAATCCCATGTGGCCAAACAATAAAAGGTGTAAGTTTGTGTGTGTGTATTTCTTCCCACAGAGGGGGAGTGGATCAGCCGCTGGACCCTGCACCCCACCCCCTTCCGCCTTTCCTCTCATACCTCTCCTGGGGTTACCAGGACAGGTGTTTGTGGCTATTGTGTTACAGTGGGACTCATTTGAGAAAGAGCTGGACACTGTAATGCGAGGAGGTCGGGTGGGAATACTTGATAACCCTCTGCGGTCCTGTGATAAGTCGGCATCTTGTTGCCTTGTGAATGTGGCAGGGCAGGTAGTAGTAACACAGTCAGTAAATACAAGGCTGATTTTTTTTCAGGATTTTGTGTACGTGGGTGCCTCAAGTGGGGTGGTTCAGCTCCCTGCTGCCACCTGCGGCAGGTACTCCAGCTGTCAGGCATGTGTCCTGGCCCGCGACCCAACCTGCGGATGGAACGAGGGACAAGGCGAGTGTATGGAATCTGGGAAGCGCCCGACTGAGGGGTAAGTGCTTGTGACACACATGCTGGACACTTGTTCACTGAAAAATTGGGGTGAGTGGGGGGGCTGAAAAGAGAATCTCTTCACTCAGAGGCTTGTTAGGCTGCTGTTCATTACCATGTAGTCCTGTAGCTCATTGGTTAGAGTCCTCACTTCGCAAGTGAGAGGATCTGAGTTCAATTCCTGGACGTGGCGAAACTTTAGGCAAGTTTCCTTACTCACACCTCTGTTTACCCAGCAGTAAGTAGGAGGACGGGTTGTTAAACTATTGGCTGATCGTTTCCGGGGATAATAATCACTCAAATAAAATAATAATAATTTGGTCACTTAATCCACGACTGTTTGTGGGACACTGCTGTATGCAATTGGCTGCCAGTTTTCGCCCACAAAATACAGTCAATTCACTTTACAATATATTCTGAAGCGCTTTGAGACATCTCAACGACGTAATAAGGCACCATATCAAATGCAGGGATTATTATTATTCTCACACTAAAACCAGATTTGTTTTCTCCTCACAGAGAGTTCCTGCAGTACGATCCCGCTCAGAAAATCTTGTGTCTGCAATCTAAAGGTGTGTGTAGGTGAAGAGTGTGTGTGTGTGATTGTGTGTGTGAACATACATACTGCATTTTCAACCTTCACCCTTTCACCTTTGACGGGCCTGGCTCAGTCAGTAGTGCACTTGTCTCCAAGTCAGAAGGTGTGAGTTGAAGCTCTACATTGGGATTTTAGGCTCATAAAGTCGATGCTGACACTCCAGTGCAGTACTGGGGAACGCTGAATTGTTGGAGGTGCTGTCCTATGGATGAGATGCTTAACTGTTCAAGTGGACGTCAAAGAACGTGTGGCGCTATTCAAGAAGAGAAGGGAGTTTCTCTCTCCTTAAGTCCTGGCCAACAATCCCCAGATAAGACTAGTCATTTACTTCATGCAATACAATTTTAATTTATATAGCACCTTTCACGGAAGGATTTCTTAGAGCGCTTTAGACTTCACAGCTGTTTGTGGGATGTTGCAGTGAACAAATTGGCTGCCATTGTTCATCCACAAAAAACAGTTAGTACACTTTTACAGTATTCTGGCCTCAACCACCCTTCCTGGCAACCATGTGCCAGTCATTAATTACCCTCTGTGTAAAGAAATGTCTGTCCTGAAATTGTCCTTTGCAATTATGTCCTCTTGTCCGATTGTCTCGAAAGCAAAACCTGACGCTAACTCTTTGCTTTGCAGATTCTCCGCAGACAAAAGTGCTCCACATGGTGAATGGTAGCACGGTCTTTCTACCTTGTGTACCTGTGTCCGCCTGGTCCCTGTGCCAGTGGACAACCCCACCTGGATCCTTGAGCAACGAACTCAAGGGTCATGGGCTTCAGGTTACTGTTACGAAGGACAGTCTGGGAGAGTACAAGTGCCGGTGTGTGGAGGGTGAGGTGGAGGTTCACTCCATCTCCTACAGCTTAGAGCTGCCCGCTTCACATGATTCCCGTATGAGCCACACCGGCCTCACCTACTTACTAATGTTTGTCGTTCTTTGTGCTGGCTTCATCCTCAGTCTCCTCTTCTGTTACTTCAAGAACAAAATAGGGCTGAGATTTAGGTCCAGGAGACAGGCAGAGAGAGAGAAGCCATGCCAGGCCTCCTCAGATGAGATCCGTCCTCTGGCAGTTGGTGTGAGGAATGGACCGGGTATGAATGGGACTGGGGAGAAGGAAGGAGCTTTCAGCCACATGGGAACAGAAGCCAATGGGATGCCAACGCGGGGCACCATCTCCATCATATCGTGTCAGGACGAGACCTCAATCTAACGCACGCCCGGATGTTCTCCCCCTCCCCGCAGCGGACGCATCTTGTAATATATCTTTCATTTAACTTGTTTCGTTCTCGGGCAAGAATTCAGATCCAGATGAAGGTGAAGTCTTTTCACATTGGCTTGTTATTGCACCAGCATTCTTGCTCTCTCACTCTATCACAGGCCACAATGTGCGATTCTGGCAGCCGATCATCTGCAGTTCTGTAAATCCCCCCGATGCTCTTCCAGGAATGGGAGCATGTGTAGGGGGGAAAGGAGAGGGAGAAAAGACTCCCGCTTGCTTCTCATGTGCTCAGTGATTGACACCGTCTCTGTGAAGCGCTCTGAGACGTACTTGCAGCTTGTCAGTGCTGTGATGTCTGAGCCTCTGGAGTACCACAGGGAGATCAGAGTTCGTCCCCAGCGCTCTGTCCACTGTTCTTGTGTACTCTGCTGTCACAGCAAATCTGAGCATGCAACAAAACCACCAACCTCCAGTGTGAATGGCATTTCCAGAGATGGACTGTGCTCTGCCTCGGACTTTGGTGGGCTCTATGGGACAACCTCAGGAAAGTGGAGGATTCTCAGTAGAAGGTTACAGGGCACCGGGACCCAGTGTTTGAAAAGCTGCGTCTCATGTCTGCGAGAGGTCCTGGGTCAGTGGGCTTCAGGCGATGTGTTTTACCCAACACCCCACCCCCACGGCAGCTGTAGTGAGCAGCAGAGGCTGCTGATCTGGGAGGAGGGTCGCTCAGGCCCCGTCATTAAAGACTGGGTCGTTCGATCCTTTTGGTGACTAAAGGAAGCCCAGTGATTGGAGCAGAGCAGAACAGTGCCATCGCTCCGGTTCTCACAAATGTTTGCAGCGCTCATTCTTAAAGCTTCAGGGTTGACTGGACCTTCTGTGTTCTGTGGCCACGTGCAGCATCACTCCTGATTGTCCTCTACAAAGTTCAATGCTGTTCATTGTTGTTGCATTTCCAGACCTTTATTTCTGTACAGACCCAATCCTCAGCCCAGACGAGTGTGTGTGTGTGTGTGCGCGTGTGCGCGTGCGTGTGTGTGTGTGGGTGTATAGGTTGGGTGGGTGGAGTATAGGATTCAAACTTCACTGGAAATAGGCTTGTTTTTGTTGTTTGTATATTTTAACTGTTGCCAAGATTAACCTGGAATATCTGGTGGTACCAGGGATCGGGAGAAATGCCCTCCCCAGTTTTATCAGTATTAAATGCAAAGCTTGTTGAGCCTTTGTTATACCGGGGATTGAGTGGTTAATTGGGATTTCCCTTGTCTCAGAATGGGAAGCGATGAGTTTGTGTTCAGGGTGTCCTGAGTGATTAGGTGGGGGGAGGGTTAGTGGGGTGGGGGTGCGGGGAGAGAGGAAAACAATGCTGTATTGTTAACGTGTGTAACTTGACCTTAAGAGCTTCATTGTTGCCTTTGTGTAATGTTATCAGTGAGATGGACGGCCAGATACAGCTCAGTCCATGTCACTCCCATGGCACAGGGACAGGATGCTAGCATTCAGCCCACCCAGCCTGATCTCCCAGTTTATTAGACAACAGCAGACCATTTAATCTCCTTGCCTCGCCTTTTTGTTTTTTCCATATCCCTAAATTCTCTTTTGCTCATGGAGTCCTGTAACAGTGGTTAGCATGCTCGCCTTGCAAGCGAGGACCTGGGTTAGATTCCCCGGCAGCCGCGTTTCACCCACAAAATTTGCAGTACATTCTGTGAAGCGTTTTGAGACATCTCAAAGACATGATAAGGCGGTATATCAGATGCACATGCGAGGATTATTATCATAACATTTTCATCACGTTTTCAAGACGTCTCAAAGCACTTCAAAGAATATACTTACTATATAATAATGATAGTTATTATAATTGTATCTTCCTTCTAAATAACTGATTGACCAGGACCCCTCTGCCTCCTCGTCCTCCTTGACCTATCTGCTGCCTTTGACACCTTTAACCACTCTATCCTCTTCCACCTCCTCTCCTCTCACCTCAACCTTCATAGTTCTGTCCTTGAATGGTTCAGATCGTACCTCTCACACTGTCTCCACTTCATCTCCACAGATGGTTTCTCCTCTAGCCCCTGCACCATCTCGTGTGGAATTCCTCAGGGCTCTGCCCTTGGTCCTGTCCTCTTCAATATCTATGTTCCCTCTTGGTGAGATCATCCGCAGACTCGGGGTCAACTTCCTTCCTCTCTCGCATCAGGCTCCGTGACCTTATCATTCCCATCCTCGCCTGACTCCATTGGCTTCCCATCACACAGAGGATACAGTTCAAGATCCTGGTCCTAACCTTCAAAGCCCTCCATGGTCTTGCTCCCCCCCCCCCCCCCCCCGCCTCTGTAACCTCCTAACCCCCACTACCATCCTGCCCACTCCCTCCACTCAGTAGGCTCCGGCCTGCTTCACATCCCCCGCCTCGCCTTCCCCCTCATTGGCGGGCGGGTCTTCTACCACTCTGCCCCCACCCTTGGAAGTTCATCCTGCAGTCCCTCTGCATCGCCCCCTCCCTTGCCTCCTTGAAGACACGTCTCAAGACCCTCCTCTTTGACCGTGCCTTCGGTTACCCTCCTTCCCCCTGCCCTCCATCCTCCTGAATCCCGACTCCCAGCTTGAGTCCAAAACACTGACTGTCCAGTGCCTTGGGACGTCCTCCTGATTGAAAGGCGCTATACAAACATCATTTTGTTGTTGATTCTGCCTCTAAAACTGGCTGGGGCAGTGCGTTCCCCACTCCCACAAACCTGGGTGAAGAAATGTTTCCTCATCTCGGTTTTTCCCTCCTCACTCCTGCCGCCGTAGGTCTGCAACTAAGATTTTTTTTACTAAGTGACTCATTGTGTAAGACTGCTTTTTGCAATATTGAGAATTAAAACATAAAATTGTTTGTAAAGCTTTTTAATTCTATGTTACATAGGTGACCTGAGGCAAGCCAAAGCCCAAAGAGTTAAAGTGGTCCTAGCTGGACAAGTAGCAGGATACTTATCAGACCGTGCTCTATTCAGTGTCTTAGCACAGTGTTGGGGAGTGCTGCAATATCAGATCCTTTGATGGGATGTTAAACCAAGGTCCCATATGTGCCTGTTCAAATGGACGTTAAAGATTATTGGAGTCCTGTATAGTGGTTAGCCCTCTCGTCTCGCAAGCGAGAGGACCCAGGTTTGATTCACAGGCAGGGCAAAGCCTTAGGCATATTTCCTTACACTACATGTCTTGTTTTCATAGCAGTAAATAGGAACCCAGTTAGTCGATTGGTGGATCACTTTCCGGGGTAATAGTTCCTCAAAAAAAATTTGATCGCTTAATCCATGCAAGAATTATTATTATTATTAATATTGGTTAAAGACATGGCAGTTTCTCTCTGCTGGTGTTCTGTCCAACAATCCCCCAGATAACATCGGTCGTTCACTTCATGACCCTTTGCTGGGTAAGGCTATATGCAAATTAACAGCTCACTGCACGGAAGGGGTCATTGAGATGTGCTTTGCGTGTCTGCTCTCTAGTGGTGTTAATCGAGGATTGCAGCAACACCAACTTTAAAACCCTGACCTGCTGCACAGCTGATCAGACTGAGCCAACAGCTGGGTAAATAGGGACCAGACACAAGTCACTTTATTGTAAAATGGGGTGGGGGGTGGTGCTCGGGAAACAATCATGAATTAAGATTCTTTTTAATGATGGGTATAATGATAATCCTTGCATTTGATATAACGCCTTATCACGTCGTTGAGACCTCTCAAAGCGCTTCACAGAATAAAACAAATCGACTTGATAATTTGTGGGTGAAACACGGCAGCCAATTGCGCACAGCAGTGTCCCACAAATCGTCGTGCATTGAGTGGCTAAATTATTTTTTTTAAGGGATTATTACTGCCGGAAATTGATCTGCCAATTAACTAACACCCTACTTACTACTAGGTAAACAGAGGCGTGTGGAATAAGGATACTCTGCCTGCGAATTAAATCTGGATCCTCTCACTTTACAAGGCGAGTGTTCTAACCATTACTTCATAGGACTGTGTATTTTACAATGAATCCTGTAAAGCAGTTTAGGACATCCTTCTGACGTGAGAGGCACTGAAACAAATGTAAGGATAAAAAAAACAGCAGCTGCCAAACAAAGTGCTCATCAATTTTAATATTTGTCAGGAAAAACTCATAGCTGAGGTGATGAGAGGTTTTGGTGGATGATGAGAGGTTTGGGGAGAGGGCGAGAGGTTTGGGGAGAGGGCGAGAGGTTTGGGGAGAGGGTGAGAGGTTTGGGGAGACGGAGAGAGGTTTGGGGAGGTGGTGAGAGATATCGATGATGTGCCGCTTCACGGTAAGGATCATGAGGATGGAGTGCACGGTGGGGATCATGAGGAGGGAGGGCACGGTGGGGATCATGAGGAGGGAGGGCACGGTGGGGATCATGAGGAGGGAGGGCACGGTGGGGATCATGAGGAGGGAGGGCACGGTGGGGATCATGAGGGAGCGCACGATGGGGATCATGAGGGAGGGCACGGTGGGGATCATGAGGAGGGCACAGTGGGCTCTGGGGGTGGGGGCATCTTGAGGCGACTGCACCGCAGCCTCTTGAGCTTGGTGCTGTACTGCTTCTCCCGCAGCAGCTGCTGGTGCTGTTCCTCCAGCTCCAGGCGGCGAGCCCGCAGAACACCGGAACGCCGGATCTGGCACAGCAACTCCTGCCGAAGCTGCTGGTTCTCGCTCTTGATGAACTCGATGTGTTTGATCAGGCAGCAGACGGCCTCCTTCGGGACCGACGGAGGGAAGAAAATAAAATGTTACATAATATTAATAGAAATAAATAATAATCCTTGCATTTGATATAGCGCCCTATCATATCCTTGAGACTTCTCAAAGCGCTTTAGAGAATATACTGTAAAGCGAATTAATTGTATTTTTGGGCGAAACGCAGCAGCCAATTGTGCACATCAGCGTCCCACAAACTGTCGTGGATTGAGTGACCGCATTTTTTTTTGGTGGGATTATTACCCCGGAAAGTGATCTGCTTATTGATTAACAACCAGATTCTTACTGACTGCTGGGTAAACAGAGTGTGTGGAGTAAGGAAATTTGCCTAAGGTTTCGCCACGCCAGGGAATCAAACCCATGTCCTCTCACTTGGGCGGTGAGTGCTCTAACCACTACACTACAGGACTTCCATTAGTGTAGTGGTTAAACTGAGTGGTGGCGATTATACAATCTATAAAGATAATATTTAAGCAACTTTTACAGTTGTTTGAAGGACAACACCTGACAGTGCAAAACTCTGACAGGCTGTGACTGGGGGTGATTTGCCTCACCCGGTTTGCTTCCTTCTCCAGGGCTTTAACCATCTTCATGGCATTCTGTTTGTAATCGGCTTTCTCCTGCAGGAAATTCACTTTGATTTTGTGGAGATTTTCTGCGTGTTCTGCCCGCGCCTCCATCACCTCCTTCTGCAGTTCACTGATCCTGGACAGTTGATTCTCCCTCAGCTCCTGCAGTGAGAACAACGGCAAACACAGGAACACGCTTACTCCGCCCAGCAACACGCTTACACAACAACAACTTGCATTTACACAGCGCCCCTCACTGTAGAGGTGCTTAACAGCGTCGGAGCCTGACACCAAACTGTGGGAGTTGACCATATGCATGGTCAAAGAGGAAGGTCTTTAGTCTTGATTTGAATATGGGAAAGGAGGGGGCAAGGTGGAGGGATTGAGGGAGACAGTTCAGCTTCAGGGCATAGTGGGTGAAAGCACTTCGCCAAAGGTGGAGCGGAAGGCATGAGGGATATGCAGGAGGCTGGAGCCAGCCAAGCAGAGGCAGCTGGTAGTGGAGTGGGGAGAAAGCAGGTCGAGAGGTAGGGAGGTGCCAGGGCCTGACGGGATTTGTAGACGAGTGTGAGGACCTTGAAGTCTAACACACTTACACTGTACAGAAACATGTTTACACCATATAGGAATACGGACACTATGCAGGAACATGCACGGCCAACAGAATCGTACAGCATGCTGGAACATACATCAATACAGGAGCATGTACAATATAGGAGCATGCTGGCATCATCCAGGAACATGCACAACATATAGAAAGTGACCACAGGCGTGTTGAAGAGGTAGGATGTTAAGGTGGATTCAGAGACAGATAGAGGGGGAGTCAGAGGGAGAGAGTTCCAGAGGTTAAGGGACTTAGTGGCTGAAAGTGAGTGCCCTCTCCCGCACCTGGCTCTGTGACCCTATCGCACCCACCCTTCCCCAGCTCCACTGGCCTTGTAGCACTCCTCCTGCCCTCCATGCCTCCTAAATCCAACCCCCAGCTCAGGTCCAAATCCCTGACTGCCCAGGGCCTTAGGATGTCTCCTGACATGAAAGGCACTATACACATGTCATTTGTTGTTGTTGAAAATTCGGTTACTGATGGTGGCGCGGAGAAGGCAGGGGCACACCCAGCAAGTCCCGAGTTAGCTGAGTGGCAGAACGTAGAAAGTTTTATATCCAAGACAACACTAAGTTAGGGGCTTAGTAAGTTGTATAGATGGGAGTAGGAAGTTACAAAGGGACTTAGACAGATTAAGTGAGTCGGCAAAGCTGTGGAAGATGGAAGTGCGAGGGAAGTGTGGGGTCATCCACTATGGATCAAAAAAAAATATAGCAAAATATTTTCTTGACGGGGAGAAACTAAGAACTGTGGAGGAGCAAACAGATTTGGGTGTCCATAATCCACAAATCACTAAAAACTAGTTTCCAGCTGCAAAAAGTAATCAAAAAAGGTGAATGGAATATTGGCCTTTATCTCAAACGGCCTGGAATACAAAGGGGAAGAAATGATCCTTCAGCTGTACAGAGCATTAGTCAGACCCCATCTGGAGACTGCGTTCAGTTAGAAATCTGGAATTCTCTCCCCAAAAAGGTTGTGGATGCTGGATCCATCCACGCCTTCAAGAGTGAGGTTGATTCTTGGTAGGTCAGGGTATTAAGGGATTATGGGGAAAAAGTGGGAAATTGGAATTAACAGGATTAGATGAGGTACAGATCAGCCATGATCTAACTGAATAGTGGAACAAGCTTGAAGGGCTGAATGGACTTCTCCTGTTCCTATGTTCCTATGTAAAGGGATTCAAGCCAATTCTTCCTGGCCCTCTAAGACTTGGCCCGATCTCCTTCACTGCCAGTGTTGGGAGGTTATACTCACCTTAAATTCCCCCAGGCTGTCAATCTGTTTGTTGATCTGAGCCAACTCGTTTTCCTTCTCCAACTTCACTAACCCCAGCTCTGGGTCAGAAAAGGTCAAAAGAAAAAAAACACAGGAATTTCAGACCCACAGGAATGCCAGCTGGATTCTGCCTGCTCTGTACTCACCCACTCTTTCCCCAAGCCCCTCCCACTTCACCAATCCCCAACCCCATCTGTCCTTCCGATGAGATGTTAAACCGAGGTCCAGTCTAACTGTTCTTGCACTATTCGAAAAGAGAAGGCAGTTTCTCTCTCCCAGTGTCCTGGCCAACAATCCCCCAAATAAAAAGTTGGTCACATACTCCATAGCTGTTTGTGGGACACTGCTGTGCGCAAACTGTCTGCCACATTTCACCCACAAAACACACAGTCAATCCACTTTGAGACATCTCAATTACATGTTAAGACGCTTTATCAGGGGCAAGGATTATTATCCACCAAATCCCACCCAACACCCCCAAAACCAAACCAACCGCCCCTCACCCCAACATAAACTCCAGCACCCAATGCCAGCCCCAAACCCTCCACCCCAAGCACCATCCCAATATTGGGCACAGGTGACAATGTGTTTTGTTCACAAAATATATAGTAAATTCACTTTACAGTACATCTGTGAAGCTTTGAGACGTCTCAAAGACATGATAAGGCGCTATATCAAATGCAAGTATTATTATTAGTATTAATACTGGGAACATTATTCTGTGACCTAATCAGGACATAGCAAATCCAAGCCTGCCTGATTTAGTAATCCTCTTGCCTCTAGGTCAGAAGATCACAAGTTCACGTTGGGGACTTGGGAGTTCACAGTCCAGGCTGACGATTCAACACAATGTTGGGCAGCAGGGGGGTGGGGTTTGGGGGAACATTGCCAGAGATGCCCTTCAGATGAACCAAGCTCCGGGCTTTAAAGATGCTGTTGGAAAAGAGGAGACTCTCTCTCCTGGTGTCCTGACCAATAATTCCCCAGAAAACAATGGTCATTTATTCCACTGCTGTTTGTGGGACTTGCCACCTACAGTCACTACATCTGGCTGTTTGTGGGGACATTGCTGTGTGCAAAATGTCTGACAAGTTCACCCTCAAATGACACACTTTACAGTATTTACTGTGGAGCGCTTTGAGTCATCCTTCCGACATTATAGTATTTGTACAAGCTTAGCCATTCCCTGGCACCTCCCTATGTCCCTAGCCTCCTCCTACTCCACCCCGCCGCTTGTCTTTCTCCGCTCTGCTAACTCAGGCTGTTCGCATCAGTGGCTGAGCCTTCAGTTCCTACGCTTCTAACCTCTGGAACTCTCTCCCCCCATCCCTCCGCCTTGCCACCTCTCTAGCAGTCTTTAAATACTGCTCAAAAACCCATCTTCCCCTCTCCCTTTCTCCGGCTCAGACCTGCCCTGGCGCAGAGTCTAACCCAATGTGAAATGCCAGTTGCTGTATTAATTACCGTGAAGTCAGGTGAGATGTTTTCGTGTATAAGATGCAAGTTATTTCTGTCTTCTCTCCATGCTGAGACTGCTATAAATTGAGGATAATATTAATAATAATTATAATCCTTGCATTTGTTATTGTGCCTTATCTTGGCATTGAGATGTCTCAAAGCACTTCACAGAAAATATTATAAAGTGAATTGACTGTGTATTTTGTGAGTGAAACTCAGCATTTTAATTGCACACAGCAGTATCTGACAAACAGCTGTGGATTGAGAGAATTTTCTTGAGGGATTATTCCCCCCAGAGTGTGATCTGCCAATTGCCTAACAACTGGGTTTCGACTTACTGCTGGGTAAACAGACATGTGGAGTAAGGAAACTTGCCCAAGGTTTTGCCCTGCCCGGGTCCTCTCACTTGTGAGGTGAACATAGTAAACACTACAGGATCTCACTCACCTTGGAGCTTCTCCTCGTACTCGGCCAAGATTTTCTCCTTCTGCTTCTTGATGTTTTCCAGCTCTAAGTGGTTCTGATCAGTCAGGCTGATGATCTGATTCTGCCTCTTCTGTGCCCTCTTGCTCATGTAGGACGTGTACTCTTGCTAATTCAGGGACAGATTCAAACAGGTAACAACAACAAATTGCAGTTATATATAGTGCCTTCCACATCAGGGACAACCCAGGGTGCTGGACAGTCAAGGGTTTACACCTGAGCTGGGGTTGGAGTCAAGAGGGGTGGAGCGCAAGGTGGTGGGAAAATGCCTGAAGGTGAGGTTGAAGAGAAAGGTCTTGAGCTGGAACAAGCACAGGTCTGTAACCAGATTCCCAATCCGAGGGCACAGGTACACACACACAAAGGTACACAAACAGAGGTACATACACGTTCACACATGCTCACACACATACGCTGAGACGCGCACTCACTGTCACTTAGGAAACTGAGAGAAACACCCTTCTCTTTTTGAATAATGGCGCGGGATCTTTAACGTCTGCCTGAACAGGCACAGATGGAACCTTGGTTTAACATCTTGTCTCAAGGATGGGACCTCCGACAATGCAACACCCCCCAGAAATACACTGGATGTCAGCCTAGACTCTTATTAGTTCAAGTCCCAATGTATTAGTTCAAGCTCCAATGACACAGAGGTGAGAAATGCTAGGAAGTTTTTCTTTACTCAGAGGTTAATAATATAAATAATAATAATCCTTGCATTTGATTATGGCGCCCACAAACAGTTGTGGATTGAGTGACCAAATTATTTATTTTTTTCAGGAATTATTACCCCCGGATAAGCGATCCACCAATCGACTAACCACTGGGTTCCTATTTACTGCTAGGTAAACAGAGGTGTATGGAGTAAGGGATCTTGCCTAATGTTTCACCATGCACAGGAATCAAACCCTGGTTCTCTCCCTTGCGAGGCGAGTGCTCTAATACTAAGCTACAGGACTCCAGATCAAGTTAATCATCAAATGGAATTGGGTTACTAGAAAGGGTGGGTAAAGCCAGGATGCTGGAGAACTGGAAGGATGAGATCAAATGGGCTGGTAGGCCTTCTTCACCTCAAACCAATCACTTCACAAGCTAGCCTCAAGTCACAGAACCACAGTACTGACTGTTGCCACGAGAGGCCATCAGGGAGCTATGGGAGGAGAAGACTCCAATGGATGGAAACGAATTCCTCAACAAGATCCAACAATAACCCAAAAATAACACAACGCCAACAACACACCAATAACAACAAAAAACACACCAACAATAACACAATATTTGTTTTTTGGACAGCCAGGTGTTTGACACATATGGAAACCCATCACCATGCTTAAAGAGTAACCAAACCAAACTGAGAATTCCTTGTATCCCACCTACACAGGGAAATCCCAGAGATAGATTGTTAGAATGGAATGTGCGCTCTCTCCCTGAAGGGACACATCCAGATGGCTTACCTAATTCTGGAAAGTATTAGGTGCAGGTTGGCAGGAGCCAAGGCTTGGGAACCCCAGAATGTGCATTGGAATCTAACCAGCTAAAACCTCAAAGCTTGCCATTGAGATCACTGCGCTGGCAAGCTTTTCGAATACTTGTCCAGCTAGGACCACTCTACCCATTAGGGCTTTAGTTTGCATGGTTAACAGGAGCTGAGTGGGAGGATTCTCTGCCCCCAGTGACTGGTCTGTCCTAGCAAGTCCTCCGATGAGCCAGGCTGGGCTGTATGTTATCAGCAGTGCCCTGGAATACTGAGGACCCACCTGGCTCAGGAACTGGACTAGAGACCATCACATAGGGCTGGCTCGATTCTTACATTCCGTGCACAAAAGAGCAGTCAAAGAGGTAGGTCTTGAGACAGCCTTGAACGAGGAAGGAGGAAGTCAGAGGGACTCCAAAATGACATTAAGATACAACAACTTGCTTTCATACCAGGACAAGGAGAGGGCTTGTGGTCTTGTGTGCTGTGTGGCGGGGCAGCGCAGGGGTTGGCAGGGTGGGGAGGGGGCGGGTAGGTTGGACCTGAGGCTGTGTGTGAGTGTAGACCTCACTCCCTGTAGGGCACAGATGCCCTCGCCCCTCCCCCCCACCACCCCTCACCCCAACCGTGGATAGAATCTGACACATACACTCTCTAACCGGGTCTGGTGTGCCTCCTTCTCCAGGAACTCATTCTCTCGCCGACTGTAAACACACACTGAGGAAAACAGCCAGACTGTATGATGGAGACACTGTGTGACAAGTCTGTGTGACAGTGAGACTGTGTGACAGTGAAACTGTGTGATTGTGTGACAGTGAGACTGTGGGACAGTGAGACTGTGTGACATGGTGACTGTGTTAAAGGATACAGTTCATAAATCTTCTGTTTCAACTGTTTCAGCTCCTCTACCAGGCTGTCGAACCTTTCATTAAACAACAAAACAAGTTGAACTGTTCAACCCTGACACTGAGCAAGAGGACGTGAGAATAAAGAGTGGGGTGAAGAACACACTCTCCAACCTATGCCTAATACTCTCTGGAATTAAGTCAGCAGGGTGTGTCCCTCTAGGGAGGAAACAAGAGAAAAAAAGAGAGAATGAGAAAGAGAGAATTTAATTTAAGAGAGAATTGGAGTTAAGGAACAGATCCACCGTGATTTAACAGAATGGCTGAACAGGCCAGAGGGGCTGAATAGCCTACTCCTATTCCTATGAGTTATGTTCTATGAAATAGAAACAGAGAGAGATTGTTAAAGAGGAAGTAAGGAATGGATGAAGATTCATACGGAGTATAAACACATGCCGAATTGCCAGTTTCCATCTGTTACGCCCTCAAAATACACAATCAATCCATTTTATTTTATGAGAGACATCCCATCGACGTGATAAGGTCCTATATCAATTGCAAGGTTTATTATTGCATGCCTGCAATGAAAGTTTATTTTTGCTTTAACTCATAAGGCTGGGTAATCAACCCTGAAAGGGTGATGGAAGCCGATTCAATAACATTTAAGAGAAAAGTAGATAATTATTTGAGGAGGACAAGTTTGCAGGGCTATGGGAGAGAACGAGGAATGGGAATGATAGGTCTTTTCAAAGAATCGGCACAGACACGATGGGCCGAATGGCCTCCTTCTGTGCTGTATAATTCTGATTCTATAAATGATGTTGCAAATTGGCTGCCATGTTCACCTACAAAATACACAGTCACTACTCTTTACAGTGAACCCTCTGAAAGGCTTGGAGATGTCCACCTGATTGAAAGATATTAAATGATATTATTCATTAATTTTATTATTTCAATATCCGAGTCTGTGATATCTATCCCCCGTTTTAGGTTTTTCAATTCATTTTTCTGCTAGAAGTGACTATAACTATAATGCCTGGTTAAGTTACATAAATAAACTAGCTGCACTCGTTGCAGCTTCGCTTGCAACCGAAGGATCTAATATGGAACGTAGATTGACACACAGACAGGCATTTCATCTTTATCTATACTCGTCTTTGAAGACTCCTGTGGGAGGAGTCCTTTTAGGAGGACTCAGTGGGAGGACAGTGTGTGCGTACATACGTAGGTGCTCTGTGATGCACAATGTCACAGCATCACTTTGACTTGGCAGCCACCAGGTATAACTGCAGTGAAAATCGCAAAACTCAAAATAACTCATAAACTATAGGAGATACCCGAAAACAAATACGCCCATGTCATTCTCAGATGCAATACCTTGCCGATGCGGTATCAAGTATCTTTCTTGAAGTGAAACAGACATTGTTGCTTTATTTGTATATATATAGAAGATAGATAGAAGAAGATAAAACTTGCTAACACCTTAGAATTCAACCCAATAACTAAACATTCGATTTGCCACCTGCTGTATGTTTCCTTTGGGGATGCAAAAACAAGCTGTGGAACTTCACAGCCAAACATCCATTGACATTTCATGTTCTAAAAATATCGGGCACTTCTCTTTTCCAGTTACAGGCAGCCCTGTTGTCAATGGCATTGACAAAGGGTGAAGAGTAACACCCCACTGTAATCTCACTGAGAGAGACTATACAGGTTTTTTGGTGGGAGTGAGACATATTAATAATAATAATAATCCTTGCATTTGATAAATGGTTAGAGCACTTGCTTTGCAAGCGAGAGACCTGGGTTCGATTACAGGCAGGGTGAAACCTTGGGCAAGTTTCCTTACTCCACACGCCTGATAATAATCCCTCAAGAAAAAACCCAATAATAAATTGGTCATTTCAACGCAAGACGTTTGTGGGACACTGCTGTGTGCAATTGGTTGCCGCATTTCGCCCACAAATATACAGTCAATTCACTTTACAGTCTATTCTGTGAACCGCTTTGAGACGTCTAGAAGACGTGAAAACCGCTATATCAAATGCAAGGATTATTGTTATTATTATATATATCCTTATCATGTTGTTGAGACATCTCAAAAGCACTTCATACATTATACTGTAAATTGACTGTATTTTATGAGCAAAACAACAACAAAAAAATTACATTTGTATAGCGTCTTTCATGTTGGGAGAACGTCCCAAGGCGCTGGACAGTCAGTGTTTCGGACCCGAGCTGGGGGCAGGGTCGAAGAGGAAGGTCTTGAGAAGAGTCTTGAAGGAGGTAAGGAAGGGGACGAGATGGAGGGACTGTGGGATGGACTTTCAGATGGTGGGGGCAAAGTGGCTGGCCCACCCCCCAATGGTGGGACAGGCAAGGTGGGGGACTTGAAGCAGACCAGAGCCTGCTGAGTGGAGGGAGCGGGCAGATTGATAGGGGTTTAGGAGGTCGCAGTGGGAGGGGGGAGTAAAGCGATGGAGAGCTTTGAAGGTGAGGATCAGGATCTTGAACAGTATCCTCTGTGTGATGGGAAGCTAGTGGAGTCGGGCGAGAATTGGGGTGATACGGTCATGGAGCCTAGTATGGAAGACGACATGGGCTGCAGAGTTCTGGATGATCTGCAGCCTATGGAGGGAGGAGTTGGGGAGGCCAACAAGCAAGGAGCTCGCATAGTCAAGCCTGGATGTTATGAATGCATGTATGAGGATTTTGGCTGCCTGTGATGGGAGACAGTGGCAGAGCTGGGCAATGTTGCGGAGGTGGAGGAAAGCAGAGTGGGTCATGGCATGGATGTGGAGTAGAAAGGATAGCTGAAGGTCAAACAAGATGCCAAGGTTCCATGCTGACTTAATAAGGTGGAGTGTACATCCTTGGATGGTGATGCTGCCAGTGTCTGAGGTGTGGAGGCACTGACGGGAGCCAAGTAGGAGAGCCTCAGTCTTGTTAACGTTCAACTAAAGAAAATTAGCTCTCATCCAGGATTTGATGTCTGACAGACATTCTGTCAGGACAGCAGTGGTCCTGGAGTCCTGGAGCACCCAATTGTGTGCAGCAGTATCCAACAAACAGTCGTGGATTCAGTGATCAAATGATATATATTTTCTTTAGGGGATTGTTACCCTTAAAGCAATCCACCGACTAACCGCTGGGTTCCTACTTACTGCTAGGTAAACAGAGGCGTGTGTAGTAAGAAAACTTGCTTAACGTTTCACCCAGCCCGGGAATTGAACCCGGGTCCTCTTGCTTGCGAGACAGGTCCTCTAACCAATACCCTACAGGACTCTCTGTAGCATATTTATTAGAGCTCTCACTTTGCTCTAACTGATATTTTACAGGGAGCCCGCCCCTTCAGGGATGGTCTTCTGAGGTTGGGACTGGGTTACAATGTCGGACAGAGAAGAGGACGATTTACTGCTCCAATAATAATAATCATTGCATTTGTATGACATCCTTCACATTGGGAGGATGTCTCAAAGCACTTCACAGGATTTACTGTAATGCATAGTGACTGTGTTTTGTAGGCGGCCGTGGCAGCCAGTTTGTGCACAGCAATGATTCACAAACAGCCGTGAGTCAATTTTATCTGGTAGATAAAATCAGCTAGGACACCGGACGAGAGAAACTCCCTGCTGTTTGCAAACAGCCCCGCAGGCTCCTTAACATCCACCTGAACAGACATAGATGGGACCTCGGTTTAATGTCTCATCTGAAGGACGGCATACCCGACAATGCAGCGCTTCCCCCAGCACTGCGCTGGAGCATCAGCCTAGATGGTGAGTTTCTCCTGGTTTCCTGGCCGACAGTCCCCCTGGATAATTCAGGTCATACATTGGGGGTTTGCAAAACACATGGCCACTTCGCAGCAAATTCTGCAAAGCATTCTGACAATTGCTTCCGCGTGAGAGGTGCTGTAACAGATATAAGCATTATTGTGGAGTCCTGCAGCTTAGTGGTTAGAGCATTCACCTCGCAAACGAGAGGACCTGGGTTCGATTCCCGGACGGGCAACACGTTAGGCAAGTTTCCTTACTTCCGCTTGTTAGTCGATTGGTGGATCGCTTTCCGGGGGTAATTATCCCTTCAAAAAATAATATTTGGTCACTCAATCCACAACTGTTTGTGGGATACTGCTTTGCAATTGGCTTTCGTGTTTCACACACAAAATATACAGTCAATCCACTTTACAGTATATTCTGTGAAGCACTTTGAGACATTTCAAAGATGTGATCATATATTTATTATTAAATGTAGGATGAAGCAGCGCAGCTTACTGTCTCTGGAGAGTTATGACCCGCTCACTGGCAGCAGTCATCACGTCCACCTCTGTACCGACCACCTTGCTCTTGTCTCCTCCCTTCTCCTTTTTCTTCTTTTCCTTTTTTTTCGACATCTTTTCGGTGAATCAGTGCCTCTTCAAGTAAGCTCTCTCTCTCAGCAACAGCAACTTCAGTGAGAAAGATCACCTAATGACATTTTAGTGCATTTTGTGGGCAATCACTGTACAGCGTAGTGACTGTTTATTTTTTAGGCAAATCCATCAGCCGAATTGCACACAGCAACGTCCCCGCAAACAACCAAGAAGTGAATGTCTAACTCTATCAGGGAGATTGTCGGCCAGGACACCGGGAGACAGACACTCCTTTCTCTTTTCCAACTATGATGTGGGATCTTTAACATCCCCCTGAACAGGGCACAGATGGAGCCTCAGTTTAATATTTCACTGCAGCACTCCACTCAGCATTGTGTTGGAGCTGAAGAGACTCGAGGGATTTGAAGGCCTACTACCATTTCTGTGCCTCTCCCCCTCCCTTGGAACAAGAGTAGGCCATTTAGCCCCTCAAATCTGTTCTGCCATTCTATTAAAACATGGCTGATCTGTACCCACCTTTGCCCCATAAATCTATCCACACTAGGCTTTTGAATGGAACCAGGATCCACAGCCTTTTGGGGGCAGGTGGCAGCACCTCCGCTGCATGCCCAGGAACTTGGATCCAGAAAGGAGGACTGTTTGCACACAGGTCTCATATGCTGCAAGCTTGACCTGCACCAGGAGCTCTGAAACTCTATCCCGTAATCCCTCCACCTCATTCCCTCTCTTGCCTCCTTCAAGTCCCGTATAAAGAACTTCCTCTTTGACAGTCCCTTCGGCCACCCTCTCACCCTCACCTGCCCTTCACCCCTCCTGACACCAACTCCCAGTTCTCGTCCAAAAAACCCTGACTGTCCAGCGCACTGCAATCTCTTTGGGATGTGAAGGGTGCTATACAAGTGTAATTTGTTGCTGTTGCTGCTATCCTTGAATAGAGACAAGCACGACCAGAGTGGCCTTGGCTCTGTGATCGGATTATGCTGATTGGGACGCTGACAAGCAAAAGCTTAAACACTTATTCAACCACACATCCAGTTGTATGTTTCATTTAGAACACAATGCATGGCAGACAGGATGTTGTGGACAATTTAAAGTTTGTTCGAGTGAAATATAAAAGTACATGAATATATGAGGAGTCACAGCTGCAACTCTTGTGGCTTCTAGAAAGAAGTCAGGTCAGTGTGTGGGCCTGGCTTGATCACTCGCTGCAGGTGCTATTTCTTTTGTGCATCATTTTGTGTAAGAATTACTCCCTCCTCCCCTCCTCTCTGTTGTCGTCTCCCCTCCCCCTCTCCCTCTCGAAACATAGAACATAGGAACAGGAGGAGGCCTTCAGCCCTTCGAGCCTGTTCCCCGTTTAATTAAATAGTGGCTGATCTGTACTTCAACTAATCCTTTCAATACCAACATCCCACTTTTTCCCCATATTTCTTAATACCCTGACCTACCAAAAATCTATCAACCTCACTCTTGAAGGTGTGGATGGATCCAGCATCCACGGCCTTTGGGGGAAGAGAATTCAAAATTTCTACCACCCTTTGAGTGAAACAATGCTTCCTGATTTCACTCTTAAATGGCCTGGTTCTAATTTTAAGACTATGCCCCTTGTGTTAGATTACTCTCCCATTCCTCTCTTTCCACCTCTCCCATCTCTCAATTTTTCTCTCCCAATCACTATCTGCAGTAGCAGGATCCGACGGGTGGTAAGGACTCGGCTGGTAAGGAGACGCGCTTGCCTTCCCCTCAGTTTGGGTACACGTTGCAGTAACGGCGGGCATTATTTCCGCTCTCCCTGCCAGCTAACCACCAGCTTCTGCCGCTGCTATGGGAGGACGTTCATCAGGAAGGGAGGGAGGGATTGAGGGAGGGAGCAAAAATTTTGGAAATGGTCCCAGGCCAGATAATATAACCCACCAGGGTGGATGTGGCTGTTCAACCACACTGATATAAGACATGATATCAAGTGCGAAGATATTTACAAGTATTAATATATATAAAACACACATATATTGATTTATTTACATTATTTACAATCCTCCCCCAGCGACCATTCCGCCCAGCGACCATTCCCCCCCAGCGACCATCCCCCCCCAGCGACCATTCCCCCCCAGCGACCATTCCGCCCAACGACCATTCCCCCCCAGCGACCATTCCCCCCAACGACCATTCCCCCCCCGACCATTCCCCCCCAGCGACCATTCCCCCCAGCGACCATTCCCCCAGCGACCATTCCCCTCCAGCGACCATTCCCCCCCTGCAACCATTCCCCCAGTGACCATTCCCCCAGCGACCATTCCGCCCCAGCGACCATTCCGCCCCAGTGACCATTCCCCCCCAGCGACCATTCCCAAGTTACCATTCCCCCAGCGACCATTCCCCCAGTGACCATTCCCCCCAAGTGACCATTCCCCCAGTGACCATTCCCCCCAGCGACCATTCCCCTCAGTGACCAATCCCCCAGTGACTATTCCCCCAGCGACCATTCCCCCCCAGTGACCATTCCGCCCAACGACCATTCCCAAGTTACCATTCCCCACGACCAGTCCCCCCCAGCGACCATTCCCCCCCAGTGACCATTCCCCCCAACGACCATTCCCAAGTTACCATTCCCCCAGCGATCATTCCCCCCCAGCGACCATTCCGCCGAACGACCATTCCCCCCCAGTGACCATTCCCCCAGTGACCATTCCCCCTCAGTGACCATTCCCCCGAGTGACCATTCCCCAGCGACCATTCCCTCAGCGACCATTCCCCCCAGCGACCATTCCCCTCAGAGACCATTCCCCCAGTGACCATTCCGCCCAACGACCATTCCCCCCCAGTGACCATTCCCCCAGTGACCATTCCCCCTCAGTGACCATTCCCCCGAGTGACCATTCCCCCAGCGACCATTCCCCCCAGCGACCATTCCCCCACAGCGATCATTCCGCCGAACGACCATTCCCCCCCAGTGACCATTCCCCCAGTGACCATTCCCCCCAGCGACCATTCCCCTCAGCGACCATTCCCCCAGTGACCATTCCCCTCAGCGACCATTCCCTCAGCGACCATTCCCCCTCAGCGACCATTCCCTCAGTGACCATTCCCCCGAGCGACCATTTCCCCCAGCGACCATTCCCCCCAGTGACCATTCCCCCAGCGACCAATCCCCCCAGCGACCATTCCCCCAGTGACCATTCCCCCCAGTGACCATTCCCCCAGTGACCATTCCCCCAGCGACCATTCCCCCCAGTGACCATTACCCCAGTGACCATTCCCCCAGCGACCATTCCCCCAGTGACCATTCCCCCAGTGACCATTCCCCCCAGCGACCATTCCCCCCAGTGACCATTCCCCCAGCGACCAATCCCCCAGCGACCATTCCCCCAGTACCATTCCCCCCCAGCGACCATTCCCCCAGTGACCATTCCCCCCAGCGACCATTCCCCCCCAGTGACCATTCCCCCAGCGATCATTCCCCCCAGCGACCATTCCCCAGTGACCATTCCTCAGCGACCATTCCCCCAGTGACCATTCCCCCAGCGACCATTCCCCCAGTGACCATTCCCCCAGCGACCATTCCCCCAGTGACCATTCCCCCAGTGACCATTCCCCCAGTGACCATTCCCTCAGCGACCATTCCCCCAGTGACCATTCCCCCCAGTGACCATTCCCCCAGCGACCATTCCCCCAGTGACCATTCCCCCAGCGACCATTCCCCAGTGACCATTCCCCCAGTGACCATTCCCCCAGCGACCATTCCCCCCAGTGACCATTCCCCCCCAGTGACCATTCCCCCCAGTGACCACTCGCCCCCAGCGACCATTTCCCCCCAGTGACCACTCCTCCCCAGTGACCCTTCCCCCCAGTGACCACTCTCCCCAGTGACCATTCTCCCCAGTGACCATTCCCCCCCCAGCGACCATTCCCCCCACAATGCTCTGCTCCACGGGAACTCACCGCTGTTATTTTTGACGCTTCGTTTCTTCCGAGATGACACGAAGCGGCTCCGTCGCCCTAGCAACCGTACCGGAAGTGGGGCTGTATCCAATGGGAAGTTTACATTAGCAACGAACCTGGAAAGTAACGGAACCGGAAGTGGGCGGGACACCGGAAATTAGCAAAAACAACGTCACGGCAGCGATGTGGGAACCGGATATAAAACCGTAAGTGGTCCCGCGCGGCCGCGGTGTTTGCTGGTCCGGGGCGGCGGGTCATTGTGAGCGGCAGCTGCTGATACTACAACAACAACAACAACAACAAGATTCCATTTATAAAGCGCCTTTCACGTCAGGAGGACGTCCCATTCCGCCATGTGTGTGTGTGAGGGGCAGTGTGTGTGTGTGTGTGTGAGGGGCAGTGTGTGTGTGAGGGGCAGTGTGTGTGTGTGTGTGTGAGGGGCAGTGTGTGTGTGTGTGTGAGGGGCAGTGTGTGTGTGTGTGTGTGAGGGGCAGTGTGTGTGTGTGTGTGAGGGGCAGTGTGTGTGTGTGTGTGTGAGGGGCAGTGTGTGTGTGTGTGTGTGTAGGGGCTCAGTGTGTGTGTGTGTGTGTGAGGGGCAGTGTGTGTGTGTGTGTGAGGGGCAGTGTGTGTGTGTGTGTGTGAGGGGCAGTGTGTGTGTGTGTGTGTGTGAGGGGCAGTGTGTGTGTGTGTGTGTGAGGGGCAGTGTGTGTGTGTGTGTGGGGGCAGTGTGTGTGTGTGGTGGGGGCAGTGTGTGTGTGTGTGGGCAGTGTGTGTGTGTGTGGGCAGTGTGTGTGTGTGTGTGTGTGAGGGGCAGTGTGTGTGTGTGTGGGGCAGTGTGTGTGTGGAGGGGCAGTGTGTGTGTGTGTGAGGGGCAGTGTGTGTGTGTGTGTGAGGGGCAGTGTGGTGTGTGTATGAGGGGCAGTGGTGTGTGTATGAGGGGCAGTGGGGTGTGTGAGGGGCAGTGTGTGTGTGTGTGTGAGGGCAGTGTGTGTGTGTGTGTGAGGGGCAGTGTGTGTGTGTGGGGGCAGTGTGTGTGTGTGTGGGGGGCAGTGTGTGTGTGTGAGAGGGGCAGTGTGTGTGTGTGTGAGAGGGGCAGTGTGTGTGGGGCAGTGTGTGTGTGAGGGGCAGTGTGTGTGTGAGGGGCAGTGTGTGTGTGAGGGGCAGTGTGTGTGAGGGGCAGTGTGTGTGTGAGGGGCAGTGTGTGTGTGAGGGGCAGTGTGTGTGTGTGTGTGAGGGGCAGTGTGTGTGTGTGTGAGGGGCAGTGTGTGTGTGTGAGGGGCAGTGTGTGTGTGTGTGAGGGCAGTGTGTGTGTGTGTGTGGGGCAGTGTGTGTGTGTGTGTGTGGGCAGTGTGTGTGTGAGGGGCAGTGTGTGTGTGAGGGGCCGTGTGTGTGTGGGGGGCCGTGTGTGTGTGGGGGGCCGTGTGTGGGTGGGGGGCCGTGTGTGTGTGTGGGTGGGGGGCCGTGTGTGTGTGGGTGGGGGGCCGTGTGTGTGTGGGTGGGGGCCGTGTGTGTGTGGGGGGGCCGTGTGTGTGTGTGGGGGGGCCGTGTGTGTGTGTGGGGGGGGCCGTGTGTGTGTGTGTGGGGGGCCGTGTGTGTGTGTGTGAGGGCCGTGTGTGTGTGTGTGGGGCGTGTGTGTGTGGGTGGGGGGCCGTGTGTGTGTGGGGTGGGGCCGTGTGTGTGTGGGTGGGGGCCGTGTGTGTGTGGTGGGGGCCGTGTGTGTGTGGGTGGGGGGCCGTGTGTGTGTGTGGGTGGGGGCCGTGTGTGTGTGGGTGGGGGGCCGTGTGTGTGTGGGTGGGGGGCCGTGTGTGTGTGGGGTGGGGGCCGTGTGTGTGTGGGTGGGGGCCGTGTGTGTGTGGGTGGGGGGCCGTGTGTGTGTGGGTGGGGGCCGTGTGTGTGTGGGTGGGGGCCGTGTGTGTGTGGGTGGGGGGCCGTGTGTGTGTGGGTGGGGGCCGTGTGTGTGTGGGTGGGGGCCGTGTGTGTGTGGGGGGGCCGTGTGTGTGTGGGTGGGGGCCGTGTGTGTGTGGGTGGGGCCGTGTGTGTGTGGGTGGGGGGCCGTGTGTGTGTGGGTGGGGGCCGTGTGTGTGTGGTGGGGGGCCGTGTGTGTGTGGGTGGGGGCCGTGTGTGTGTGGTGGGGCACGTGTGTGTGTGGGTGGTGGGGGCCGTGTGTGTGTGGGTGGGGGCCGTGTGTGTGTGGTGGGGGCCGTGTGTGTGTGGGTGGGGCCGTGTGTGTGTGGGTGGGGGGCCGTGTGTGTGTGGGTGGGGGCCGTTTGTGTTGGGGGGCCGTGTGTGTGTGGTGGGGGGCCGTGTGTGTGTGGGTGGGGGGCCGTGTGTGTGTGTGGTGGGGGCGCCGTGTGTGTGTGTGGGGGGGCCGTGTGTGTGGGGGGGCAGTGTGTGTGTGGGGGGGCAGTGTGTGTGTGGGGGGGCAGTGTGTGTGGGGGGGCAGTGTGTGTGTGGGGGGGGGCAGTGTGTGTGTGGGGGGGCAGTGTGTGTGTGGGGGGCAGTGTGTGTGTGGGGGGGGCAGTGTGTGTGTGGGGGGGAGTGTGTGTGTGGGTGGGGCAGTGTGTGTGTGTGGGTGGGGCAGTGTGTGTGTGGGTGGGGCAGTGTGTGTGTGTGGGTGGGGCAGTGTGTGTGTGTGGGGGCAGCAGTGTGTGTGTGGGGGGCAGTGTGTCGGTGTGTGTGTGGGGGGCAGTGTGTGTGTGTGTGTGTGTGTGGGGCAGTGTGTGTGTGTGTGAGGGGCAGTGTGTGTGTGAGGGGCAGTGTGTGTGTGAGGGGCAGTGTGTGTGTGTGAGGGGCAGTGTGTGTGTGTGTGTGTGAGGGGCAGTGTGTGTGTGTGGGGCAGTGTGTGTGTGTGGGGCAGTGTGTGTGTGTGGGGCAGTGTGTGTGTGTGTGAGAGGCTGCTGATACTACACACACACACACACACACACTGCCCCTCACACACACACACACACACACACACTGCCCCTCACACACACACACACACTGCCCCTCACACACACACTGCCCCTCACACACACACTGCCCCTCACACACACACTGCCCCTCACACACACACACACTGCCCCTCACACACACACACACTGCCCCTCACACACACACACACACTGCCCCACACACACACACACTGCCCCACACACATACACTGCCCCACACACACACACTGCCCCTCACACACACACACACACACTGCCCCTCACACACACACACACTGCCCCTCACACACACACTGCCCCTCACACACACACACACTGCCTCACACACACACACACAGCCCCTCACACACACACTGCCCCCCACACACACACTGCCCCTCACACACACACACACACACACACACGCTGCCCCTCACGCACACTGCCCCTCACACACACACTGCCCCTCACACACACACTGCCCCTCACACACACTGCCCCTCACACACACACTGCCCCTCACACTCAGATACAGGATTTAGTGACGGCACTTTTTGATCCTTTGACGTCGCCTCTTTCTATCGCTGTACAGCAGAACTCACCAAGTGTTGGATTGTTCACCCGCAAATAGAGACCGTGAGCTGGGCTTAGACTGCCGAGCAGTGCCGTTTTACCCTCCTGATGTGTTGTTGCAGTAGTACTTTTGCTGAGCAACACCCATTCCATTATCTGTTATCTCTCAGTACAGCATTTCTCAATTTCTTTTCAGTTACCGTGAAATCACGTAACAGCAATCATGTTTGCAGGTAAACACCGAGTTTCTTTTTAAATGAAACTGATGCTTTCTGTTTCAACCACGGCCTCTGGTAATGAATTCCACATTCTCACTGCAATCTGTGTAAAGAATATTAGTATCCGTTATATTATTATCTGTGATAGATAACGTAGATCAGCTCTGGAACTCCATCCCCCAGTGCCTTCGCCGCTTCCTCCCTTTCCTCCTTCAAGGCCGGTCTCAAGACCTTTCTCTTTGACCGTGCCTTCAGCTCCCCTCTCGACTCTCTACCCACTCCTCGCTCCCTCCCTTCCCTCCCCTCACCCTGACCATTTCCCCCCTCCTCGCTCCCTCCCTCCCCTCCCCTCACCCTGACCATGTCCCCCAATGCTCGGGTCCCGACCCAACTGTCCAGCGCCTTGGGATGTCCTCCCGACATGAAAGGCACTCTATAAATGCAATCTTGTTGTATGTGTTTACTATAAACTTCATCTCTATGGCCAAAAAATGAGTATAAACTTGGCAGCTGAGAGGGTGGAGGAGGGGCAAGAGAAACAAGTCAAACACTGTGTGTTTATATCACCTCTACTGAGTACAACCTAAGAGGTATAATCTTCTATACTAATAAAACGACAATGTCTGTCTGCGTGCCAGCCAAGATCTTACCCGCCAATGCTTACAACTGATGGCCGCGCTGACTCCCAGTGGCGCTGTGGCATCGTGTGTCACAGACCACGTACGCATGCAGCATGTATGCACTCAGACGGAGCCAAGCGGCAGGAACAAGATAAAAATGCGTAAGCTAACATCAAGCCTTTCAAATACAAATCAAAATACCAGACAAAAGAAAGAAGGCTGATTAAATGAAACTGAAGAACAAAGAAGAGCACGGCTACATTGCAATAACTGGAGGACCTCCCAGATCACACAGTAAATGGTTCAGATCCTATCTCTCACACCGGCTGCACATTGTCTCCACAAATGGCTTCACCTCCAGCCCCAGCACCGTCTTTTGTGGTGTTCCTCAGGGCTCTGTCCTGGGTCCTCTCCTTTTCAACCTGTACATGTTCTCTTTTGGTGACATGATCTGCAGACGTGGGGTCAACTTCCACATGTATTACAGCCAACTGTACCTCTCTGCCTCCACCCTCGACCACAGTACCACTGCTGTCCTGACAGATTGCCTGTCAGACATCAAGTCCTGGATGTGAGCTAACTTTCTACAGTCAACTATGCTAACTCCCTGTTTGTCAGCCTTCCCAACTCTTCCCTCCACAAGCTGCAGATCATTCAGAACTCTGCAGCTTGTGTCCTCTCCGGCACTAGACTCCATCACCCCCATCCTCGCCCTGGTCCACTGGCTACCCATGCCCCGGACTTGGTATAGCATTCAAATTCTGCATCCTGACCTTCGAAGTCCTCCATGGCCTTGCTCCTCCCTATTTCTGTAACCTGCTACCACATCGACCAATGTCTTCACCACCTTGCTCCCTCTCTGCCTTCTTCAAAACCTACCTCAAAACCCTCCTCTTCAACACCTGCCTTTGGTTACCCTCCTAGCCCTACCCTCCCTGCCCTCCACCCTTCCTGATCCCAACCCTGCACTATCCAGCACCTTGGGACGACCTCCTGATGTGAAAGGCACTATGCAAATGTAATTTGTTGTTGTTTCAGCTACTCCTTGATCATCTCTCCCCTCTCATCCACCTACATGTGACGATGGGAACTCTCTCCTCGCCGGCCTTCCCGGCACCTCCCTCCACAAGCTGCAGGTCATTCAGAACTCTGCAGCTCGTGTACTGTCCCGCACCAGGCTTCGGGACCACATCACTCCCACCCTCGCTCGCCTCCACTGGCTCCCCAACCCCCAGAGGATCGAATTCAAGATCCTCATCCTCACCTACAAGGCCATTCACGGCCTCGCTCCCTCCTACCTCTCCGATCTACTATCCTCCTACCTACCTGCCCGTACCCTCCATTCCTCTGGCTCCGGTCTGCTCCACGTCCCCCGCCCCAACCGCCCTACCATTGGTGGCCGGGCCTTCAGCCTCTCAGCCCCGAGGCTCTGGAACTCCATCCCCAGTGCCTTTGCCTTGTTTCCTCCCTTTCCTCCTTCAAGACCGGTCTCAAGACCTTTCTCTTCAACCGTGCCTTCACCTCCCCTCTCGACTCTCTACCCCCTCCTCGCTCCCTCCCTTCCCTCCCCTCACCCTGACCCTTTCCCCCCTCCTCGCTCCCTCCCTTCCCTCACCCTGACCATTTCCCCCCTCCTTGCTCCCTCCCTCCGTTCCCTCCCCTCACCCTGACCATTTCCCCCCTGCTCGGGTCCTGACCCAACTGTCCAGCGCCTTGGGATGTCCTCCTGATGTGAAAGGTGCTCTATAAATGCAATCTTGTTGTTGTTGTTGTACATGAGATCGCGTCTCCTTATTCCAGTCGTACTTGGCCATCACCTATGTTATGGTCATCCCATTGTTTTCTCTGCCTATTTGTTGTCTAAAATATTTTCTGTAAAGTCTTTCTTCACTAAAAGCATTAGCCAGTGTAAGTGTGGTTAATACTGATTACTATGGATTACTATACATTTACTGATTGCGCTTGGGGAAACTCGGAAAATGCCAAAGTTCTGTAGAACTGGCGCGTGCGCATTATAAACTTATTGAGTAGCCCTTTAAGTACATCTTTTATGTACATTGTATTTGATACTTAGGTTGCCATCACATCTCCAAATGCAACAATTTGGCAGGTAACTTACATTATAATATGCAAATTAAGGACTGGAAGTGTACTTGTCCCCTATTGAGCAACTGAGAGGAGGATCTGATTGGACCAGTTTGCTTAAGTGTGCTTTCTCGAGCTTTCTGTACAAATCAAAGAAGGTGGGAATACACAAATAGGTTCAGCCTAGGTTACAGAGAGGTTCAAAAATAAACCTCTGATTGACTGAAGCTTCCCAATTTGCTTTAATTTACATAGTAATTGGTAATACCTGTCATCGTAGAAGAACTCAGTAGACTAATCACATCTAGTTATAGGGACTTGCATTCATTAGTGAGGATTGAACACAGAGGCCACCCACAACACTCTGCAAGTGGTAGGGAGTCATATTGTGGGTGTACATATTGGGGTGAAGAGCCGACTCATCACCAATTTGTGTTTCCCACAGTCTTCCTGCCTTTTTGTATTTCCTGTCTTCCACAGTCACGTCCTCAGCCCTTGAGGACAAGATCTGAGTTTAAAAGTATTTGTATTAATCATTTCTGGAGAGGTGACATCCTTCAGGAATAATGTGAGGGGTGAAGGGATCATGCCCAGCTGGTAGAGGATGCTTGGCCACAAGCCCTTTGGCCGTTTGGATGTTCGCTGCTCCCTTGCTTCCAATAGTGGCCACCACCCTAAAGTGTCAGCCAGTCCCATTGAGTGAAAGCCAGTGTGCAGGCCAGTGCACCTGTTGATGTCGATATTGCCAGTTTCCTTTCTCACTTAATTGTAAATCAAGTCTTTTACCAGAAACCACTTGTTCCTTGATAATTTAGCCAAATGTGGCAACGTCAAGAGTTTACAAAGTCTAGAGCCAATCAGGCATCAACCCAGGTGCATGGATCCTTGTGTCCCAACAACTTGCTTTTATCCATATATTTACTTTAGTTATGGACCTGAGCTGAGGGTCGAGGGTGAGGGCAGAGGGTGAAGCAGGAAGATCAAAAGCATGGTCGAAGAGAAGGGTCTTGAGGTGGGTCTTGAAAGTGCCACACGAGATGGGGTGGGGTGAGACGGAGGGACTGCGGCATAGGAAATAGGAACATAGGAATTATGAGCAGGAGTAAGCCATTCGGCTCCTCGAGCCTGCCCCACCATTCAATAAGATCATGGCTGATCTTCAAACCTAACTCCATCTCCAACTTATCCCCATATTCCTTGATCCCTCCATGGAGTTCCAGAGAGTGGATGCAGAGTGGCGGAAGGCCTGCCACCCAATAGTGGGGCGAGCAAGGCGACAAACATAAAGCAGCTGGAGCCCGCTGAGCGGAAGGAGCGAACAGGGTGGTAGAGGTTTAGGAGGTCGGAGAGGAAGAGGGGAGCAAGACCGTGAAGGGCTTTGAAGGTGAGGACCAGGATCTTGAACTGTATCCTCTGTGTAATAGGAAGCCAGTGGAGTTGGGCAAGGATGGGGGTGATAGGGTCACGGAGCCTGGTGCGGAAGAGGACACGGGCTGCAGAGTTCTGGATGATCTGCAACCTGTGGAGGGAAGAGTTGGGGATGCCGACAAGCAGTGAGTTAGCATAGTCGAGTCTCGATGTAATGAAGGCGTGTATAAGGGTTTCAGCGGCCTGCGGTGTGAGACGGTGGTGAGTCAAACAAGACCCCCAGGTTCCGGATTGGCTTAGTGAGGTGGAGTGTGCAACCATGGATGGTGATGCTGTCCGCGCCTGAGGTGTGGAGGCGCTGACAGGAGCCAATCAGGAGGGCCTCGGTCTTGTGGACATTCAACTGAAGAAAGTTAGCTCTCATCCAGGACTTGATGTCTGACAGGCATTCTGTCAGGCAGCAGTGGTCCTGGAGTCAAGGGTGGAGTCAGAGAGGTAGAGTTGGGTGTCATCCGCATACATATGGTAGTTGACCTCATGATGTCACCAAGAGGGAGCAGATAGATATTGAAGAGGAGGGGACCAAGGACAGAGCCCCAAGGAACGCTGCACGAGATGGTCGGTGGGCTAGAGGAGAAGCCATTTGAGGAGATGAAGTGCAGGGGGTGTGAGAGGTACGAAGCTGAACCAATCAAGGACAGCGCCGTGGAGGTTGAGGTGAGAGAAGAGGTGGCGATGACGATGGTCGATGGTGTCAAAAGCATCAGAGATGTCAAGGAGGACGAGGAGGCAGAGGGAGCCCTGGTCGCAGATGGACAGAATGTCATTTGTCACTTTGACCAGGACGGTTTCTGTGCTGTGGGTGGCATGGAAGTCCCATTGAAGGGGTTCGTGAAGGGAGTAGTGGGAGAGAGCGGAGCTGAGAAGCAACAACTCATTCCAGGACCTTGGAGAGGAAGGGGAGGTTGGAGATGGGGCGGTAGTTAGGGTGTAGAGAAGGGTCCAGGGAGGGTTTTTGAAGGATAGGAGT